CTTTAGCAGAGCGCCTATATGATCGACCTGATAGAATACTAGTTTCTTGGGAGACTTTCTTGATTGGAAATATTGTTCTAGTATTTAACAACCTTGTTTAAGCATCCTCCTTTCTCAGTATCATCTAATATAGTTGTTGCCTGACTCTGCTCAATTAACGAAAGTTAGTTAAGACCTACAGTGTTATGATGAACATATGAGTTGGATTCACTTGTTTCTTTCACAAACTTTTAATATGTACGACAGTTCATACCTAGAGCTAAGCCCTTGCTATGATAATACCGAGCTGGTCTCAAAGATAGAGCCTTTATGTAGCAAGTCCTTTGTGGCGATATAAGACTGAAAGAAAGTGACAAACGCGACACATATCGGCCTTCCATTACTTGTCTGTCTCTCATCTGGGAAGAATATGAGCGAGGTTCTGGCCAGTCGCTGCGTTGCACCTTCCTAGGCTCTCAAGAAATCTATTTACTTCAAACTCCCTGATGATCTTCTTCGTCGCCTGAGACGTCCGACGCAGTTTCCCCAACCACGTGAAGACATCAGTCCCTCCCTATACTTTCTATATTCCACAATTATGTAAGGGACGACCACAATAACAAGTGGAATTTGAAACTGTTTCAAGCAACTTAACACAGAAAGAAAGTGGCTACAAACAGTCCATACTCAGTATAAAAACGTTAAGTGACTAGTTATGATATCAAAGGTCTACTGCAGCATGGGAGATTGACCCACGGCGAAGACATCATTCTGAGAATATGAGCAGGACTTGATTACTGTGAAAGAAACTGCGATCATGTTGTATTATAGTAACAGGCAAAGTCTTTGGTTGAAGACAAAGGGCTACAAAGCTCAAGTACTACACAACCGGTGCAGCCCTACCACGCTAGGGTTCGCTTTGAGGATAACTGTATTATAAACTTCAGTTTGAGTAGCTTGTGGATCAGCCTTTATAATGAGAAGTACCCATTGATCGCTGCGCATGCTTCGCCTAATATTCAGACAATTGATATCCATCTTAGCCATACTACTACTCAGCAGGTTCTCCCCGTAGTCCACGCACCAAGCGACTAGACTACTGCTTCATAACCACTGACAGTAGCTTTGATACATCATCTACCTGAGAAGCGATGCAGCGAAAGCAATTTCTTATTGCAGAGATTGACCACCCAGCTTATGGAACTACGATGTTGCATGATGTGATACTGTCACGGCGAGTCGAGATAGCTGATATTTGACGCTGGATGAACAAATCTCCAACGATTTCCGTACAAACTATAGCGGCAACAGAGAAGGCATACTGCCGTACCCAGAGCCAAAAAAACATGAAGATTGTAAATCATCATGCCAAGGTATGCCCAAAACCGGCTTGGTTGTCAATCCAGTAACCAGTCCAGCCCAGTCAGAGTGTCTTCTTGGTGCCTCGAGAGAGATCTTGTCTTCTCCATATTCCGCAACACATGCCGCAATGCATATATGGATGTTGAACTCTAGACTCCTACCAGCTGACAATGCCTGACATGCCTCCAACCAATACGCGACCAGGTTCTTCGCACAAGGTCCCGCATTATGTCAGCGAGTTGGCCTTACTACGGGAGGTGGCAGGCAGTCAAGTCGGCGAAATTACCAGTTACCTATCATGTAACGGATGCGGCAGTTTACAATACTGCTATTTTTGCCCGATTGTCTCGCCTGCCGCTCCGACGGAATTGCCAAGCATTGAGGCCTGATGGCCAGATACATTATTCAGTCTTGCGATGAGCACAACGGATATGTTGGGCTGGGATCTCAGAAGCAATCCGGCATCCCTGGAACGTTGAAGGGCAGGCTTATCAGACTTGGATACTTCGCAGACACATTGTGTAGAGCCAAGGTTGCTTCGGCTTCGCAAAACCCAAACTCGCGATGTGAGTTGGAATGGCATCCATGTGGGGATATTGCAAGTGAACGGGTGACTCCGTAGATCGATGACTGCTCATTCATAATAGTCCGTCCGTCCATTACCAGCCCCCCTACAGCAACAGGAAAACGAGGCCTAACCGCTGCCATCTTTCGGCAGTCTCCCGGTAAGACTTTGAAAAATTGACGTCTGCGGAGCTTTGCCGCCGATAGTCTTCCCATCTAATGACGACTAACGAAAGCGGTGAGAGCACACACCTGGGAATTTCATGATGCGTCAAAGCCTCGATGGCGGGAAACTGTTTTCCCCACTCTATGCAGTTGAAGTGGACTCCACTTTCCAGCCAGGAAAATGGCAATGAAGAGTCACGAAGAGACGGGCCTTTGCACGTTGCTTCGCTGGCTGAGGCGGCAAAGTGATACACCTCACACTCTTAGTTGAGGAACGCGCTGGAGCATTCCAGGGTCTTTGATCTCGACGTGTCGTCGCTGACCGCTCTGGATGCATCGTCTGCACCGCCATGTGGCACGTAGTGGAGATTCCCATTTGGTGTTCCTCCACAGTCCACGCCGGGCAGTTGTCCTTAACAGACGACGAGGTTTCGCCGTCGCTCGACTTCGGTGTGCGACTCGGCATTGTAGCGGCCAAATGCGGGTCAGCCGGGCCTAGATGCAAGAGCAGAGACCATTCAGGTTGTAAGTGAGCGAGGTAGCACCGATAGTCCCGTCCGTAAAGGTGAGAAGCGAAGCCCAGAGATGGCGACCCGTTGGTTTCGGAATGATTTATGAAGTCTTCGCAAAAAGATTTAGACGAGGAACTCGCGCCGATTCAGGGTTTATCCATCCAACAGCTAGAACCATCAGCCCTAGACGCCCATACATCTTTTCAGCGCTTCGGATGAGAATGGAGCGAAAGATAGAAACAAAAAGGTGAAAAAAAGGATGAAAAATGGGGCCATGTGACTCGAAGCGCATGCCCTCTGGATGTCAAGTTTTGCCTTGGAAGGCGTGAATGGACTGCAACGGAGATTCTACTGTGGCTCTCCGATGAGCAGGATAAAGACCCCAAATCACATCGCAATCGGAAACCCCTGTAAATCTGGCTAGGCCTCAAGCCGTTCACACGGAGGACAGAACAAACCAAGCACCCAGGTGGAAGAACTAAGCTATTCCTGGTATGCGGATATTGTTACCTGTGCTTAGCTAGTGAGATTGGGCAACCGCTCCACTGTGGTTGTGAAGAGAATCTAAAATGCATCTTGAATTGCATGTGTCCTGCCTGTCCTAGCAAACGAACGTCTACGGATTTGTGTTGCTTGAGAATTGGAGAAACACCACAGAGTTCGGGAGGGAAAATGCCCCATGGTGGGGGATGTCGAGATAAGCTCACTGAAGACCCTGATTGACGTTCTAGTCCAGCTTCGGCATAGCCGGCAACCACACCGCATCAAAATGGAGGGCTGAGATGCGACTGTGGTTGACAGAAAGGGAAATGCTCACATGTACAGCATGCCAGCTCATCCGGTTGGGAGGCCTGGCAACTGCAAGTTGACAGGACAGAAGCCACCAGGAACAAAGGAGATCGGCTTGGAAGCGGAAAGAGTGAAAAGGTGGCATCAAGGGCGTTCGAAGTTGGAGTAAGAGGGCTTCTGATTGGTGGACTGGGGTTGCTTCAAACTGAGTTCCGCGGCCCGCCCCCTGCATCTCCAGCTTTGTCCTTGCTAGAACTCGTCAACTTGGGTTTTTGGCCACGCTGGCATACTATCATTGGGCAACCGCACAGCTGATGACGGTGAGCGAGCAGCCTGACAGTTGGGCTGGGTTGGGTTGGGTTGGGCTTCTTGGTGTTTGTTCTGTCCTGGTTGGGAGGAAGACGGCTTCGTTCAGTTAAATTAGGGGCTGTTTGGAAAGCGTTGTCCTCAACACATCGCATCTCTATTAGAGACAAACAGTCGCTATAATACATAGTGTGTGTCAATAGTGGCAAGTGAGGCAGGCAGAGCGCACGCGGTTGTTTGACGGCCAGTTGCAAAAAGGTGGATTCCCAGAATGGAACATTTCTAGCCCTCGGGTATTTGGGGTATTTTGCCGTCGATGAAAACCGATGAGGCCCCCATAAATTGTGCCTGGCATGGCGAGAAACGGCAGGGGTCCGTTAACGTAGTGCCGAGTTTGGAGTAGTGAACCAGCTTCAATGGGCAACGACCAACGAAGACGCCCGGTTGTATGGGCCGGGATAATGGACCTTTTCACATTCGAGTGTTCCTACCCACGACCCATGATCCAGGGCGAGGACGACACCGTGAGGGTCCCATCTCAACCCAAGCTTCCCAACCTGGACCAATCCATCATTTGAGTTTCCCATCACTCGTTCTTTCTTTTCCCTCCGTCTCTCTCACGAAAATGTTTCTTGCACAATACACATCCAACTGCCAAACATCCAAAACAGTCTGTCTCGTGGACATGACCTGAATTACTCGATCGAAATAAGTGGATCTGGTACTTTGTGCTTGACTACCGAGAAGCTCCCGCATTCACTTGCATCACGATCACGAGTCTTCAACAAGACAACCAACCTCTCTTATCTGGCGGTTCTTGAGCGCTGCCCAAGCTTCCTGCAGGCTGGAGCATTATCTACCCTTAGATCTGCCAGGTGGTCGCTCACCACAGGTTGATAGCAACGAACCAGGCACTCATACAAGATTCAAGTATTAGCGACTTCCGTCACTGGTGCTTGTCGATAAATCGGAACATTCGCACATGCTCTCTCACACGAATACTTTAAGTTGAAGTAAACAGTCCCTCGTTGCGTCTCTGTTTTGCCCGTGGGAATCACATGAAACCGCCTGGCCATCCCATCGCAACGGATCCAAACTTCTTGCTCTGGTACCTTGAACCTTGAACAACTGCCCCAAACTTTAACCTTGAACGCCTTGGGATCGCACCTTCCTCGCGGCTTGCATCTACTTACTCTCTCATCCTCAACTCTACTTTTCGTCGAAGTTTTTCTTACTCTGAGTAGCCAGCGACCCAGTGTCACAACTGCCCAAATGACGCTCATCATGTCGAGGCCGAACGACTCTTTCTTGCCGTCCGGCGCCATGCTCGACCCACACGAGTGTGGCCTCTCCTTCACATCGGATCTTGTCAACGGCCACCCGAGCTCTTTTATATCTCCATTAGCACTGCCTGTCGCCAACCAAACGCCATACTTTGACGAGTCCCAGCTTAGTTCATTACCGCCTGGAAACCATATGCACCCTTCAAACGTCAAAAACAAAGCACAACGAACACTGCCTCAGTCCCAGCAACACCATCTTGCGCCTCGTCGCAACCCTCCAAACGTCCGCGAACAGCGTGCTGCTAGCCTTTCGCCCTCGCGTTACCAAGAACAGACTCGAACAGCGGGATCTCGTGTGACATCACCCTCACTGCTCCCTGTGAACGGCAACTCCCTCCTCTCGTCGCCGGAGCAGATAAGCAGCCAAGTTATCGCTCTCCAACTCCGTCGTGTCACACTGCAGAATCGGAGGCTGTTGGAGAACTGGGAGGCCGAGCGCGCCCACCTTGAAGCAAATCGAGCCAGAGCCGAGGAGATATACAAGGAGGAGCGGGCCATGATGGATGACGATAGGTTGATTTGGGCCCGCGAGGAGGATCAACTACTAGCGAGGATCAGGCAACTCGAACAGGAGAACACGGAGCTACGGACGAAAGTCGATCAGCTGACACGGGGGTCAGGCGGTGCTGCTCCCTTGGGACGCGGCACCGACGGGGCGTTGGATCCTGCCACTCATGCCGGCGGCGTGGGGTTTGCAGGAAATGCGGCTAGTACGGCGAATGTCCATGTTCCCACAGTTATGTTTCGAAGCCCTCCTGATGGAGTGTCTCCTGGGCCTGGGATGACTGCCCCAGAGTCGCACCCCTTCGTTCCTTTGGATCCGCGCATGCAGTCCGCATCACCTGGCGCCGGGTCTGCAGAAAGCTGTTCACCAGTTCAGGAACGAATCCCCTCAATTGATGTACACGAGCTCATTCCGGAGCTTGAAGGTATTCGAATAAAGGGATCCGCTGTCCAGAAGGTGACCTTCACAGACGGCGCATCGTCGGTTTCGCCTCTGGCGGGATCAAAGAAACCTTCGCCTGTGGGCTCCAACAACGACTCGCCTAGCAGTCGGTCGAAGTCTTCTCCAGCAGAGCTGACCAAAGAGGCCCTCCAAGCACCAGCAAACGATCGGCTCACGATGCACGCTGGGCACACACCCAACCATAGCCTTTCTTGTTTCCCAACTGTAGTCTCTACCGAGGCAAACAACACGGCCGGTAGCTCCGGTACGTCGACGCCTATCCGACAACCGACTAGCAAGGGACTCCAAGTGGGCGATGATGGGGCATCTGCTGCCAACGCTGATGTGAATGGACAGCATGATGGTGGCTCCGAGGATGCGCTACCACCGCTTCGACCCAGTGATGGGGATGCAGAACTGAAGGGTCCGCTCATGATTCGCAACATGCCCCAACACGACGAAATATTCCTTCACAAGCTTGATGAACAACTTCAGACATCCCTGAAGGAGGACAACGCCACACCAACGGTCCTTAAAAACGGCATTGACGAGACACATACCAGACCTTTGGTTCCTCAGCAGTCACTAGTCTCTGGAGCAGACGGCACTGTTGAGAAGGAGTTGAACCAGGAGGAGAACGACATGGCTGAGATTCCTCTTAGGTTCAAATCCAGTAACAATTTCGGTCGGCCCTTGGGAAGTTCGGGAAGTCACCCCCCTAACTAGGAAACCTGAGTCTCTCCAGTCTCCGCAAGTCCGGATCGTATTGGCCAATTGGCAACTGATAGTTGCTCGGACCAGCATGCTCTCATTTCGGCATCACTTGCTATTCGTGTAAATGGCAACCCACCACATTACACTGCGCCGGTTTCTTCTACTGCACATGAAATATTTCCTTTGTATCTTGCTACTTTATCGCTGGATCGGATAAACGTTGGAGGCTGGCTGGTTCACGACACGCAGGATTTTGACGTGGTCTCAACGGCGGATGGACTGCTCAACTTATAACACAGCACTACTTGGAAATACCCCCTTTTGATACCTTTTGCCCCTTTTTCTTCTGTCCTGGGAAGAACTTGATTGTCTCACCATGTTTTGGATGGCCTGTTGTGGTGTTTGGAGGTTATGAAATGAGATAAAAATGGCATGGTACTGGCGCGCACTAGAAAAACATACTTTCATCGCACAAAACGCGACAGCGGAGGCAGCATTGGAGGGGGTTTCTGGTTTGTTTCTTTTTTTTCTTTTTTTTATATTCATCAGAGATTACGTGCAGAACCGGCACATGCTGCATGGCGACACAGCTACCAGGAGTGCGAAATTGCGCTGAGGAATGGTTGCTTTGCACATAAGGAAACAACAACAAAATATATATCCACCGTGAGGAGATGGATCAGGGCTCGGTCTGTATCGTTCGGGCGTTCAGTCAGTTGATGGATGGACGAATGTTGAGAGGTTCCCTCGGAGGCGTTTGGGTTCCCGGTGCGTGGAGGTTATTTATACTAAGAGACTGAGACTGTCCCATTATGTCAATACAGACATCACTCCTTCCCCCCATACTGTTTGCTTGCCTTTGTATTGAAGTGGAATGATGTAGAATCTCCCCGACATGCCTTTCGTCCAACTATCCATGAGAAAGACACGGTCACATGTTAACAATTTTATTGTGTTGGCTGTCGCCAATTCAACCTCAAACCCCGTAACCTGATACATCAAGGGGTGCTCTTCATGTGACATACTCTTAATATTGAATGCAGAGCATAACCCACAAATCATCCCAGTAAAGCCTCAAGATTCTAGCGCTTCCCAGAGAGGAAGTATCCATTCAACCGCTCAAACCTCTCCGCCAACGCCGCCAACTCCTCCGCCGACTGGCCCTCGGTTGCATCACCCTTCACATGCACCCGAAGCACCGCCACCACATCCGCGTACCGCGCATTCGCAACCCCCAAATCTAGTTTCACCTCCCTTATCCCCTCGCTATCATTCCCACTCTCCTCGGCCCCCTGATCAACCTCCTCGACCAAACTGGCCAGCCTCCGCCAAACCATGACCGGATCGCGGCCCTTGCAGGAGAATTTGCTAACCACTATCGGCCCCGACGAACTCTGAGCGTCCTCACCGCTACTGCTCAAGACACTTATCTTGATTTGCAGGTTTCTCCTGATGCCGGCGAGTTCATCGCGGAAACACGGGAGAGAGCAGTACGAACGCTGCGTGTAGATGGCGTCGGGGGAGAAGATGAAGCGCGGGACAGAATTGCAGATCGGCACCGGGGAGCAGGTAGGCACAGGTTGTATACTCGCAGGAATCGGAGTGGATGTAGCGACCGTGGGAAAATTGGGGGCAAGGCGGGGTTAGGCAGGTGGGTTGGCACATTTTTGGGGCAAGCGAAGAGGAGGAGGGATGTCGATTGCTTGGTTGGGCTTGGGGAAGGTATGGGGTTCGGTTCTGGGGGTATGGAGTCAAGACTGTGATGCGTGTGGGGATTGGGGAATCAGTACGCGGGCATACTTTGCGTCCCAGCATATTGGTTAAACACGAAGAAGAATAGTGGAACAACATTGGAACCAGACCAACAATGGTATTAGTGTCGGGAGAAAGCCAGCTTTGTTGTTTGGGCTGGTGATGTTTCGAGAGGCTTCACCGAACAACAAAAAGGGTTGAAGAAGCTACTACCTAGCCTCGTAACCAAGGGATTCGGCTCCTGCGTCATTGAAAGGAACACACAAACAGCAGCCTCGAATGTAAACTAGGTCCTTTTAATCAATTGCAGAAGGGATTTGTTTGTCCGAGTTATCAGACACATGGGACAAATAGGAGATGGTAGGATTGAAAGACTCGAATCATCTAAGGGGTGAATTGATATACACCATGGATGCAATCTAACTTGTCTCTCAAGACCAATCATAACCAACCAACCTAAACCCGAGTGACTCCAGCACGCCTTTCATAGGAATCTCAAGTAGCAGTAGCAAGCAATCAACTCAACTTCTTCTCCATCAAGTCCGCCAACTCATCCAACAACTCCACGGTCTCGGCCGGACTCGCAATCCACGCCGTAGTTCCCACACTCCTAGCCTTGAAGTCATTCGACCCGGCGCTCAAGAATTGATCCCCCACATGCAACGTATTCTCCCCAGGGATCAACTTGCCCTCCCCGCCGCCAAACCACTTCTGACACACGTTGACGCCCCAGCTCTTGTCGCCAATGTCGACGAAGACATCGCGGCCGCCGTTGAAGGCGCAGAATGGCACCACCTTGTTGTCATAGTCACGGCCGCCGACGCTGATCTCGAGCGTCTTCTGGACCACCAGCACCGTTTCCTCGAGAGATTCACGCGGGATCCGGATTTTTGGCGACGTGGGGATGATGCCGACGGCGCGGTCTTTGCGCATCAGCGTCGCGGGCAGGTCGAGCGTTTTAATGCAGTCTCTTAGGGTGTCCTCGGCGATGTCGAGGAGGGCAGTGATGTCTTTGCTTGACCAGGCCGCCATGTCGGGCGTAAGCCATTTTTCTCTTGGGACGGGCGAGAGCAGGTGAGGTGATGACGCGTCGAATTCAAACATGTAGTTTGCCTCGCCGCCCATGATGACAATGTTTTGTCTTTGCTGGGGAGTCAAGATGGTCGATGTGGAGATGGCATCCAGCAGACCGTGGAGTCGGTCATAGTATCTGTCTGCCGTCGTGTAGCCTGCTGCTGTGACGATGCCGATTTTGACATTCTTCCGCATCAGATCCAGCATTCTGGAAATTACGGGACTGGCTGGTTCCAGGCTCTCCCCGTCATCATAAAGCGTCACATCTCCATCAAAGGTGGCCAACTGCAGCGTACCATATGTGGTCACCGCCATGATCTGGGCCGAGTTCAAGATCAACCGTACATCGTTGAACGAGGGAGACACGAAGCGTCTCGACGAGATGAATCGTTTATGGTCCTGGTACTTAAATGCTGCCTCGAGCGGCAGTCTAGTGAAAAAGACCCCTACAGTTGGGACCAGGGTCTTGAGCTTCGAAGGGAACGTGCTGCCATTCACCTGAAGCGAAACTGGGTTCTGGTTAGCCATTGAAGTTGGGCGACATGGCCGATACTCACTGTGATCGTCAAGCATCCCCTCAACATCTCTCATGATCTCTGCATACCGACGGTGTGCTTCTTCTGACATCTGGGTGAAACTCACTCCATGAGACTTGAAGACTCCCGTTGGTTGGGAGTAAAGCACAAACGGGACGGCTAGAAGGCCCTTGATCCATTCTGTACCGAATTAGTAACCTTGTTGAGTCTCATGCTTCTCAGACGTCATGGATTGCAGCGATTTTCCGCCCGGTGGTGGGAGAGGGAGAGGGGGAGAATGCCTCGCAAGAGCCTACTACATCTTTCACGCAGTGGCGCTGTCGTTCAACAATGCCTCCATACACCGAACGCAGTGCAACATCGAAAAGAGCTTTCTATCTTGGAGACAAGCAGTTGAGGATGATGATGTAAAGAATGTCGATAATGATCAGTAAGAAGCTATACCTATGAACTGATCTCTTCTGTGTGTTTTTAGAGCATCTTGATATGACGGGTCAGCTTCCTGATCTTACTTGGGATCGGACGACAGGGGAACTCACATTCGACCCTGTATCGAGTAGTCATCGTGGACGATTTGAGCTTGGAACTCTAGGATGAAGTCAATTGCACTTGGTACTATTCAACAGAGGTATCAACGGCAGTTTGTTTATGAATCTGGCGTTCCACGATACTTTAATTCCCCAAGGTCGGTGTAGCATTCCAACGGGTTCTGTGAGGTCGGCAACCGCCGACTGCCACTGCCATTGTTTTGGGGCTTCGTCATAGCGCCTGCTCTAAAATAGGGTCACGCGGGGAACGACAATGTTTTATCACACTTGGCCCAAGCACAAAAAGAGGTCTAGATTAGAACACTGTGTTTTCTAGAACAGATGCCATCTGACACTATAACACTTCTTAATTTTCGTTCAGCTTACAGTGACTTGCAAAGTCGGTTTCCTTTTTCCGATGGAATGAAGTGTACAGACCAGACCAACCATCTACGACACTTACGCAGTGCGTTTTGAAGCCCTCCATGTACTCTGATGTTCTGAATGCCCAGTCAATGTCAGCAATGTCATGCCTATACCAATAGTTGGGTTATTTTACTGATTATATACGCACTACGGGATTGCATCGGTACTGGCATTCCGGCTACATACAACGGTGAAGAAGGGAAGTACAGGTGGGGGAGGGGGCTTGGGCCAAGCCTCCCAAGGGCCTCAAGTAGCTGCACCTCACTATGAGCTCAGGCCGGCAATTCCGCTGGCACATCACGTGTAATTATAATATTATTGGTAACTATCACCCTATCTCTAGTGAACAGAATAATCCGCTGTTGCTGTCTCGAAGAACTGCAGGCAATTGTGGGGCATACATGCAAGGGCCGTCCTGCAACCCTAGAGCTGCAAAGGTACCGCCGGCCGGCATACAAAAGCCTGCACCTGACCCGATTGAGCAGACAAGACCCAAAGAGATAAGAAACAAACAAATACAGCATCCTTTTTGCTTGAGCTTATCAATCTCCAGCTGCCGCCCTTTGGGCTGAATCCAGGCCACGTGATACCTTGGAAAGAACCGCAAAGTTCTTAATCGATCACTCGCCGGATGGAACTCTCCACACCAGCGGCCGCAAGTTGCTCCTGGCAGACACGTCATAGCGCCAAATCTTGCACTTTGGGTACATTACAGATTCGAAACCGGGTAATCGCAAGTACTATCCGTTGCAGCAGGTAATCCGTCCGAAACATACGGTCAAACCTCGAATGCTTTGGAACCCCACGAGCACCTCCAAACACCGTTGGTCGACGGGGAATCATCATAGCTCCTATGATAAGCGCATTGCTCGAGCATCTCCTTGAGAAACCCGACTTCTGTTCAGATGAGATGGCTATTTTCCTGTATGATAAATTTGACATACTAGTGTCGTGGGCTATGGCCAGAGTATATTCAAGGCCTGCAGCACCACATTATAAGATGCTGGGATCCTCATACCACCTTTCGTACCATTCTCTTTCCCCCTTATCATAGCAATAATACACTCGCTTCAGTATAGAACCCGGATGAGCCATGTCTAGAGTTTCTAGGGTAGTAGCAGATTATGATAACTTGAGTATATTGAGTCGAGTCTTCTATATCGAGTTCTAAAGTAATCTAATCGCCTAGGCCTTTCGATTTATAACCGAGAAGTTTAATAAGAACTGTAGGATAAAGCGCTACAGCTACGTGAAATCCTATATTAAAGCGAATATTGACGTGGGGTTAGGGTTTTTGGGTGCTCGTTTTCGTTTTTTTCGGTTTCAGACGAGTTATGTAAGCGCGTTCTTGAAGGGTATTTAAGACCTTATGTACATAGTCACTCTCTTGAAAAAAAGATAGGAATTCAAGCGGCCTTTTCCACAGTAATCTGAACCAATTTCTCTTTACTTGGACAGGCATTCAATGTCTGACGTACCTGTTGAGGTACTTTTGTTGCCCCTATAGATCTGATTGTGCCTGCTGAGGCCATTGTTCCCACCTTTCCCCTGTTGAGGTGATTGTTCAAGGACCTGTTGAGGTTCCTTTTCTTCCCCAGCCTGCTGAGGCTACAGTTGTTAGTACCTGTTGAGGTACTTGTCGTTCCGATCAGGGCAAGGAGCTCTTGATCATGTCATTTCTTTCCACCTCCCGGATAGTAAGGTCTTGTTGAGGATCTTGTTATTCGTTGCCATAATCTTCACACCTTAAACCTGCGGGTGGTTTCACTGCCCGTCGTCAATATATTTATTATAATATACGCAATAATCTGGTAGAAGCTAGAGATACCAAAAGTCTCCGTATAACGTATATTATATAACTAAGCTAGCGGTTAAATAACTATAACACCTAGAATTATAAAAAGAGATAGAAGAAGGTAGGCCAATATATATTTAAAATTAGATACATTTTGAAAGGATAATATAAAGATATATCTCTCGGCGTGAGCGATAGAGTAGTTTAGTTATGAAGCTGTTTCTATAACTGAATAGCTAGCTTGTAGTGAGCTCAAGCCCGCATTCGAGTACTAGGACCTGGGCATCTGGATACTGATTCCTTACTTTCCAGCTTACGCAGCTAGCGTGTGGCATAGATACAGCACCTGAACAAACGGGTAAGAGCTTTATGTTATCATAATCCTCATTCCGAGTGGATGAGTGAGGAAAAGGAAGTCCCGGCTGCCCTCCTCGGCCACTGGAGGAAGAGATGGCTCACCGGAGCAGAGCATCACAATCGCCAGCGACGCGCTATCGCTGAGGAACCGGAGGGCCCTTCGATGCAGATACCGAAAGGGGGCAAGTATTTCGGCCTGAACCGACTGGAGGCGTCTACGCTGTGCCAGATCAGGACGGAAAAAATAGGACTAGCAGCCTTCTTATTCAAGACAGGGGCTTTTGGCGTGTACTCGCCGCTATGCCGCTGTGGCGACGCCCCTGAGACGGCAGAGCACGTAATCCTCTTTTGCGGGCTGTTGGAAGGACCGAGGGAACGATTACGGGCCGCCATCGCACCACGGCCACTATACTCTCGCAGAGACCTCGCAACGGCAACAGGAGAACCAGTAGTTAGTGGGACTATTGCAAGGTGGCTGCTAGGGACGGGTCGGACAGCTTCAAGGCCCAGATAGCATCGATCTTCTCAGGGGGGACTTTGTTGGTAGGTTGAGAACCAACGTAGTATGGTAGTGAACGCAACGCAGTCGCCAATAGGGCGAACCGACGACGCAGCGTATGTATTTAGTCTAGCCATTAGGGCACGGTTTGACATACGGGAGTACTAGTAGAGGTACCGGGGGCTTCGAGCCTACGGCGTATTTAATAATAATAACATAATCCTCACCTTCGAGGGACTGCGTGGAGGACAAGCTGGTATTCGCTGTGTACTGTAGAATGTATGAATCTGCCGGTACTGTATCTTAGATATGGAAATCCTTTCGAGTATAGCTTGCCCCGTGGAGTAAGCATAGAGGGCATGCTTAAAAACGTATCCTATACTGTGCTAGTAATTGTGGCTACTACACGGCATGTACCGAGAAATCCTGTGCGAATATACACAACAAAGGCCTGTGTTCATAAGGATATTAAATAACCTACGAATGGATCGAGATGCTAGGGACTCGTTGATATTGCGCCTTGTACTACAACTACATCAAGCTCACAGGTGGAAAAGCTAGCAAGATCGGGCGAAAGACCTCGATTGAGAGGACAGCGTAGACATCTCCGTACTATATAGTCATGCAGGGCATTCTACAACGGCAAATTAATAAAGTCTGTGAGGCAATGGTCAACATTGTTATTAGGGTGGGTGATGCGCCTATGTAATCGATGAGATAACCTAACCACTGGTATAACCATGGCATCGCGGGGCACTTCGTAGTCAGAATGTACATTGGAGTACACAGGGAGTGATAACGCACACGGTGTAAGCGCCGTAATGGCTTGCATGGTATGTGCTTTGATACTGGATTCCATCTGAAATGGGAAGCTGATTTTGCAAGTCGCAATATCAGCTAAAGTAAGTTGGCAGTTGCAAACCGACGAATACAGATGGAGTCCTTGCTCTAGCAGCAAACCCCTGCATCCTAGCTCCATCCCCGTCCCATGTCCGCTTATTGAATTAAGCCGTTGTCGTTGTGCAAACTTCAGTGACGGTGGTCGTCCGGGTCATACATCCCGTCGGACAAGCAGTCGGGCAGCCCTGGACGAAGAGCACCGTGCTGGGACCCGCACAGCCGCACGGCACGTCAATCTTCTCCTGCAAAGCGCAAGTAGGAACGGGGCAGCGGATCGGACTGCAGTCGGCGGGCATAGTCGTCTTAGTCACCGTCGGGCATGGCGTCGTCGTTGATGTCGTCTTGGTGGGCTTGGGAAGAGTGACGATGATGGTGGTCACCACGGTTGTGGTGGAGCTCGTGCTGGTTGTTCGGGTCCTCGTCCGAGTCCAATGGGTCGACGACGTCGTGGTTGGACATTTCTCGCTGGTGGACCGGAAGATTGCGCTGCAGCCGGCATAGGGACATTCTCCTCCGCATGGGGCGAGGAGTGTCGCTGTGGGGATTGCTGATGGGCATCCACACGGATTTGACACCGTCGTGACGAACTGACAGTTTTTGTTGCATGCTTGGTTGCACACTGGGTTGACGACAGACTTGATGATGGTCGGGCATCCGACAGCCGTATCGGCGGCTGCGGCGATACTGCCCTTCGTTAGTCATGGTCACTAGCAAGCCGATGGCTGCGTATTGACCCAGCTAGAACAAACTTCACTTCGACTACTGTCAGAAGCCTCGTACCAAGTAACAAGAGGAAAAGAGGCTGCGCTCAAGACAGAAAGAGGATCAACGCTTGGTTATACAGATTGGGCATCCAAGGGCCAGAGCTGTGGTCTCGTTTGCAGACTACAGGTGGGTATATGCACTCAGCTCTTACACCGGTTGTCATTCATCCCACGTTGGAGGCATGTAAGGACTGGACTAGACTCCCTCTCCAGAGGTCCCAGGTTCAGAGTAGAAATTCTCTGTATTCCCGATCCCCCCAATGTTCGGCTCGTCAACGAGAAGCTTACCCGCTCTGGGTTTCGGAAGGTGAGCCTACTCCCCGCTCACCGGAATATCAACAAACACCATCAATATAAGACGTCAAGGGGTCTCTACCCTTCATCTCGGAACATACAAGCTATTTTTGGAATAACCTTACCTTTCAGCCGGGCCTACTTTATTCGGAACCCCTATCCACTGCCTGAGCCAAGTCCCTTTCTTGAATCCAATGGAACGGTGATGGTCCGCTGCTTCCTCGGCTAAGCATACGCTTATCCGAGTTTCTTTGGGGTTTCTCAGAGTTAGCATCAATAGATGCTGGCCTTGTGTCGCACCTCTTTGCCTTCAGTTGGCCCAGTTCAGCTAACCCAACGCATTGCTGGCTACCTTCATGTAGGTGATTCAGTCATTTGCAAAAGCAAGCTCATTTCCAGGTCGAGGCTCCATTGCGAGTGAGAATTCTGGATTGCGGTCTGGGAGATACCTCTTTCTCAGCATTCAAATATATCGATTCCAGACGAGCCAATAGCAACTTGGCTAAGCTGCGAATCAGGATAAACCCAAGGTCGAGACTTGAATCTCTTCATGACATGTGACTCAAAACAGAACAGATCCCACAGCTCAGGTATATATATTCAGCCTCTTTATTAGCCTAAGCATATATCACAAACGAGGTTCATATATACCCATCACAACAGGCCAAGAATAGCTGTTTCCCGCGCCATATACGCGAAATGAGCTCTCAAGAATTGATGAACCAAAGTCAAGCGAAAGGTGACGGTGATGCGACACACGGGCTGCTGGTATTGCTAGATCACGGTGACGAGACGTTGGGGCGGAACCAAGCCGATCGCCAAATTCGTTTACATTTCATAAGGTGCTTCTCTACACCGTCAAGGGAATGACACGGCCACGCACTCGTCTACTAACTCCCAGACGACCAGTTCGACAGCCGCCTGCTCACTTCGGTTATCAGTGTGCATCAAGAGACGAGGATAGTCTGGTACCCTAGCCGCGTTCCTACTCCCTCGCCAAAGCACTGGATTTCCTCCCCTGTCTCCAACTTGATCTCCTCACCATCTATAGCCGCCACGGAATGGGCAACTGCTTCACGCTGACGCAGCTCCTGGAACGCGCTCAGGGATGGAAGGTATTGTGTTTTCGGTGCCCCGACTCGAGAATCTTCATGGAAAACGTCATACGTCTGGCTCCGCCGCCCCAGGGTAATCTCGTCCTTGTCGCGGAGCCGATCAGCGAGGCGAGCCTGGAGCGAATTTTGAGAGGCCGCGATGGTGCCGCCTCCTTGCCCGAGGTGCACACGTGCCAGATTTCCCATGATGTCGTGGATGGGCAGCGAGTTTCGATGCGCCATGATTCCTTGCATCCCTTCGAGAACGGGCGTACGGATGGGTATGGGGAGTCGGTTGCGATTGATATGGAGGGTGTTAAGGAGAAGGGGGCGGATATCACGGCCATAAGAGGAGATAATGTCAACCATAGCGTTGAGCGGGCGACAACGCTGGCAAATGACTTGGTTGCTGGTTGGAACTGGCCTGAGTTCCGGGACCAGTGCTTCGTGTTGGCTGATGATGCGATGGATGGGCCCGTGGAGGTGGATAAGTATAAAGATGGAGAGGAGGAGCACCTGTTCTGGGGATGAAGTCTCATACAAGTGGCCTGTTCTGTTCTGGAGATGGAATTGGGAGTTAATGAGGCGTAGTAAGCAGTAGTTGGTTCAATTGCTGGCTTTCAAGGGCCCATCCAAGAAGACAGTGTACTCAGGTACACATCAAGTACAATACACGATATTGTTGTTTCATCGTCCTGGAATTCGCTTTCACCGTCTTATCAGTGCTTCATCTCCTTATGGCACTGCATCTTTGCGAACCAAGTAAGCACCACCGAACTATTATATCATTACTATGTTTACTATATTTTCCGCCAACGTTCATCTCAAGCGCTCCAAGCCCCCAAAATGAACTCGCTCGCTCTCTCCGCTGCGATCATAATCCCCATCTGCGGATTGACCGTCAGTGGCGGCACAATACTCCCATCGACAACATACAAATTGTCCATGCCCACCACCTTGGCCTCCCCATCCACACAACTCTCCAACCTGCAGCTACTACTCCAATGGTTCACACTGCCCTTCGCATAATCACTCATCGTTGTAACGTAGGCACTAATCTCCTCCACCGTCGCATTTTGGGCGATATTCAACGGGGTCAGCCCCGCTCCTTCCGACCCTTCGGAAGGCAGAGCGTCGAAGAGCTCCCGGATGAAAGCCGCGATGTCGGCCGCGTCTTGCGGGTCGCTGTAATACACATTGTCAGTGGGCTTAGCGATGAAGTTCTCGTCTAGCACCACTCGACCAACGCTTTTCAGGCCGGACGTGCCATAAATGTTCAGAGTGATGGTGTGCTCGTCCGTGAAGTCACTGTAACCCGAACTGTCGATAGTGCCCTGCAGCCCGGTGACAGATCCATCGTCGTGTTGGGCATACCGCCAGAAGACGCTCGTCTGCGAGGCGAAGCTGTAGGGTCCCGAGCGGGTGTCGAGGTAGAGCTGCTTGTCTGCGGCGACGGGGTTGTCGTATGAGTAGGTGTAGCTGGTGACGTTGGGGGACCGCAGCTCGATGAAGGTATTCGGGTTATCGAAGAGGCCTGCGCCAACGGCGGTGTTGTTGATCCAGTCAGAGATCTCCAGATCATCCAGTCTACCGGCCTGGTGCAGGGTGGTGAGGGTTTCCGCGTCGCCGATTCCGCTCGCCATGAGCAACTGGGGACTTGAAAAGGCACCACCGCTGAGCACCACCCTTCCGCCTTTGTTCAAGCTGATAGTGACATCCTCCCCATCCACCGTAGCCACAACCCCCGTCGCGACCCCTTCGTCCTGAGAACTTTCTGCACCCTCGTCCCCGTTCTCAACTCGAAATTCCCCAACTTCAATGCATCCTGCAAATAATGCTTGACCGGCCCGCCCCGTTGCCCTCCATCATAGTCATATATCGGTCTTCCAAACACCAAGTCCTTCTTGTCAGCCTCCTCATTGATGTCCACCTCAGTATACCCCGCACCCTCGACGAGCCACTGCCGCGCCGCCTCGAAACCGCTCTGCAGATACCGCTTCCCATCCGTACTCGGCAAATCGGTACTCGGAATCCGCGCGTTCACACGGGCTATCGCCCCGGCCATATCGGCGCTCTTCCATCCGGCGGGGAAATACGTATCCAAGTCGGCGGCGGGCGGCTGGAAGAACAACCCGGCATTGATAGCCGATGACCCGCCCACGGTACATCCTCCATAGTAATTCGTCTCGTCTTCCGGGCAGGTCAAACTTCTGGGTCCGGTCGAGTTGTCAAAAATCGACTTGTAAAGACCGGGTACGTCGACGCGGCTCATGTTGGTGCCATCTAACCAAGCCGGCCTCTGTTGACCGCCGGTGACGGAGTAGGATGAGCTGCCGCCTTCAAGGAGGAGGGTGGTTTTACCCGCTTCGGCGAGACGGGAGGCGACGATGATACCCGCAGGGCCGGCGCCGACGATGATGGCGTCGTAGGATGGGGATTGGGATGAGTTGGGGAACAGGTTGGTGAGGAGGGGTGAGGAGAGGGCGGGTGTTACTGCTGCTGCGTGCAGCAGCGTGATTATTGAATAACGCATTATGATGAGACAAGGTGTAAATGTCTGAATAAATGAATGGGTATATGACTGAGAATCTTTGACTATTCGGTGCCAAGTGGTCTGGCGAAGATATAATGAGGGTATTCAAGTTGACTCGGCGGCTATACACTACTCATCTCTTGCTTATGTTCATAGTATGACCACAAGGAACAAAAAGCACCAAAGAGATATTGGAGATGAGGCAATCGCGTGCGTGCAACCATCTTCTCTCTGTCTCGGAGCGAAGTCGGCTCCTTATAAGTCGGTCAATCAGCAACCAGCAGTCAGCTCTGTTTATCCCTTCATCTCAACTGGACCCATGCAGAATTCGTATCATAGTATGCTGCACCACCCACCTCCTTAGATCCCAGCTAGAATTTGTCACTAGTCAGTAGCGCCAAGACAACCAAGACAAAAGGGATCAACCAGTCAATCAGAATGAATTTCTTTTTCCAGCTTCTTGCTCAGCCCTACCTGAAATCTCCCGTATCCCTTATGCGGATCGCCGGTAGGCATTGTTCGGCTGTCCCTGGTCCCGCTCACTGCCGAATGCTTTTCTGCCGAAGTGGCCAATGGCCGGCTACTCTAATATTAAAAATGGCCGAGAATAGGTCAACCCTTCCACCGGGCGGGGATTATGTAAACAAGACGATCCACATGCCAATTTAAAGCTAGAACCCACGCAGCCAGCCCCCTTATGAAGCTAGAAGGAATGAGCAAAATACCATACGGAATCCCCACAGCCAGTTGATCGGCACTCTGAATTGATGTCGAGTCATCAGTCAAGGAGACTTGGGAGAAAATTCGTGGGTGGTTGGTCAGCGTGTTAGTTGCATGGCAAATTCGCAAAGGCAAACTCTACCTGGGCAAAGTGTAACGAAGATGTCCCCATTATCATCATGAAGCTCGGCTCCTGCAGGCGAATTCATAAACTTCCATGAATTCTTGCAAGGGGTCATTCGATCCACACTTAGTACTGGGTTGCTTTCACCGCTCTCAGGTGTTTATACATGGTTTCACCTGTTCGTTCGTATATGGCGGTGGGGTGCTAAGAAGGGGCCACAGCTCCTCTCCAGTATCCGCATGTAATAATTCGGTAACGCTGGTGATATTGTTTGCACGTTCTAATAATCTTTTAACACTTCATCGTCAACCGCCCGAAAATGCTTTGCCCAAGCCGTCATCGTGCCGTATCGACGTTTTCGTGGAACTTGTTCCATCCCGCCATTTTGCCCTCAGGCCAGGGCTCTTTCCCAGTAATAAATAACCATACCTTACCTTAAGGGATGCTTGCTAAGTTCGTTCGTTCGTTCGTTCGTTCGTCCGGTCATCTCATATCCATTGCCTCAGTTACCCAGTTCCTCATGACATTCAGTAGATCTACACCCTCCTTTCCTCAAGGGTAAACTATTCTGCTTGTGGTGTGACCGACATCTCCAAGTCAGTCCCACAAAGACCGCTCCCACTGTGACCCCACTACCAAAGCCACTCGCCACGGCGATGGAGAATCAAATCTAACATCCTTGCTGGGAGCTCAGCTGAGACAGTTTCTCCACTAACTCGGCTGCCAATATTTCAGAACTAAGAGGCGGCCTATATTTAGCTGGCACCGCCGTTAGGAGTAATCTGTCCTGCCACTTGTTGCTGTTGTGCCACGGCCGCCTGTTGAGCTAGCACAATGTGAGTCGCGTTAGCTTCCGCCTGGTGAATGACGTTCTGAACGACGGCTTGGTCATCAGCAGAGAGAGGTGTTGTGAGGTTGGTGTAAAGTTGCGGTTGCTCAGTTTGCATTTCTGTTGTCGAGGATTAGTCGTCATCAACTACGTTTGTGTTTTCTAGCCGTTTACTTACTTATTAATGCTGCCCTGAATAGCTGATACGGTTCAATCTTGTCCAATGGCGACTCGAGCAGGACTGAGTCCTCACCCAGCTCGTCATCAGAGTCGTCCGCTTCCTTGTAGGTGTTTTCAAGGCGGCTGAACTTGGAGGCTTCTTCGTTAAGGAACTCGAGATACGCAGTGCTCTCGTCACGAGCATCGGCAGGCTCCTCGGGCTCGTCCTCGGCTTGCCAGTTTGTGTCATCTTCTGCCCACTCATCCTCGTCATCGTACTCGTAGTTGCTGGAGTCAAACTGGAAGTCATCTCTCAGTGCCTCCTCTCGGTTCTTCATGGCGCTGGGCAGCGTCCTGAACAGTACGGTGACTCCATGGAGGAGCCTTGGCCAGCCTTGAATGACGCTTGGCGGTATTTGATCAGCGTTCAAGCTCAGAAGCGAGACGATGGCCACGATGCAAAGCTTTTTGTCGTGGACACGCGTAAAGCTATCCATGCTTCCGAACCACAAGCTGAAGAACTTATTCGTCCAGCCCTTGGCCTCAAGCACGGAGAGCGTAAGAAGCGGGTTGTAGTATATGGCATTGATAACCATCTCTGCCAGGTGGATTCTGTATGATTTGACCTTAACCTCAGGACCGCTGAGGACTGTCATGGCCATGGAGATAAACCCTGTCACACACTGATCGATGTGACCGCGCAGGCTGAGCATCATGGCTTCGGCCAGCTTGCAAGCGCAGATTCGATCAACCCCTCCTACTTTCTGATCCGAGAACATATCTTGAACCATGCCATACAGGGCTTCGACATACTGAGGCGACTGGGTGAGATGACCTGCGCCATACTGAACAAAGTTGTCTAGCGCGGGTAGCATGTCCTCGAGGTAAAGCTCGGCTCCAGACTTGAAGGTAGTGTGAATAAGCTCGAAAGCCTGCCACATGGTGGGCGAGATGTTCTTGGCGGCAAAGGTGCAGCTGTCAATGATTTCAAATACTTCATTGTAGAGGTCTACGAGCAAAGTTAGTCACCCACTCAAAATAGAAGACAATCATAAACGTACCATAAAGCTTGTTCTCCAACGTTATCTGTATCACAGGCATCAGCACCGCTTCGATGTGCAGTAACACGTCAGGGGTGCTCTCCAATGTGAGGATCAGCGTCCCAATGGTTTGGAGTACTCCCAGAGCAGTAATACTTTTGTCATCCAGGTAGTCGCCGTACTCCCCATCGTCATCACGGCCGTTGTCGTTCTTCGCCAGAAGCTCTCGTACTATGCGCATATACGTGTCACGGAGCTGCTCACTAAGCGCAACCGCGAAAGGCGTGAGCTCTGCAGCGAAGACTTCGACGAAATCTTCCATCACATTGGCAAGCGCGTCGATGTCGCACTCGTTGGCAAGTTTGAGCAGTTGCTGCATGATGGTAGGGATACTCTGCTGCATGCTAATCCGAATGGCATCGTGCCGAATCAGGGGCTGCAGAGCGAGCGCGGCAGTGACGCGCACGGGGAGGGCAGGGTCGGCCATGCAGTCTAGGATGTGCCGGTAGATGACGAGGAGGTTGTTTTGATCCTTGAAGTTGAGCATCTCAAACTTCTCGACCGTGTCGCAAGCCCGAGCTCGAAGAAAACCCTGGGAGCTTTTGAAGTCTGGGAAGACAAAGCGGACCAGGAAGTACTCGACTTGATCCGCGATGGGGCTCTTCTTACCCAGAAGCACGGGTGCTAGCGTGCCAATCATTCGGAGCGCACCCTCCTTGCCGATGTGGTTCTTCTCGCCTTCGGGGGCTGCTTCGTACGTATTGACCACCTCGTTGATGAACTTGAGCAGCTCAAACGTTTGCTTCCTCCGAGCCTTGGTCAGGGTGACCAAAAAGTTGGTAGCGGCAACATCCGGAGCCGAAATTTCCTCGTAGAAGTTGAGTTTTCGGTGCAGATACTCCTCGGGCTCATCTTCAAACTTTTCCAGATCTTCCGGCCCAAGACACAAAACAGGAAACACTAGGTGCGTGACGAGATTCGTCACATGCGGTTTGAGGTGGTTCCACATCTCCTTCGGCCGGCAGCACTCGTCGAGGAAGACGAGGGTATATGAAAGGCAGGGCTTGCTCAGCCAAGCGGTCTTGGAAACCCATTTCTCCACCTCCAGTAGATAGTGTTGCAGGATCTCTGGGGCAATAGTCGCGGCGAATTCTTTGGCGTACGCCTTTGCCTCGTCGTCCTTGGTGTCGACAGCCTGGGGGTTGCCATGTCTAATCCACAATCTGTTCAAGTTGAAGTATGCCCACTTCTTAGCCTTCCACCAGTGATGTCGTTCCCTATCCTCGACATCTTCGGGCATGGCCGAGGCGGGAATGGTCTTGGATACGGTATGGAGGAATACGGTGCACCATCCGATGTTGACCGGAGGCTGTCGCAGGAAGCTCGAGAGCTCAAGCTGTGCAATTGTTAGACGTGCGAATCTTGAAAGAAGTGCGGTGGAAATTTACGGGACTCCCTACCCAGGTCGCATGCTTGTAAGCTTTTAGGGCGATGTGAAGCATCTCGCCGGCCTCGTCGCTTTCCTGGTTGACGAGCTCATTGCACACCTCCAACAGCCTGGGAAAGCTTGCCTCGACGATCTTATCAAACTCGGCTCGACTCCCATCCTGGCTGCCTTTGAATCTATAAGTACGGCAGGTGACAAGTAGACATTGCAACCCGGAAAGAACCGAGGCCGGGTCGTTGGCGTGGAGCAGTTGAAGGGTGACGTCCATAAATCTTGGCCACTTGTCGGGGAAATCGAAATGGAGGATACGCTGGATCATTTGTAGCAGCTGCTGGCGAACGGGGCCATTAGAGGAGGCCAGAATGGGAAGTATGCGATCACGGAACCGGTGCTTCTCATCTTCGGCGATCAGGGGCTCGTCAGGGTAGTGGTCACTCTTGGACCAGCCTCGATTTGTTCGATTCTTGAGGTAAATGACGCCTAGAGGAAGAAGAAGAACTGGGGTTAGTCGGCTGAAATGCGAAATATATGGGTGCACGTCCGAGGTTGCCATGCAGCAGTTTAAGGACGGACAGGGCTGGTGTATGTGTGTGGTGGACGAGGACGAAGAAGAAGCACAGGAACGTACTGGAAAGGCGGATAGAATCGTCAGGCTCGTTGGACAGAATATCGAGGAGGACGTCGGTGAATCCTGCATGCGACTCGGCCTGTGCGAAGGGTGTGTGTGAGCAGCCAGTTCCTGCAATGCGGAAACAAAGATAACCAAGAGGGGGCACCTACAGTCTTCAGCTCGATCTCGGCAGCCCGTCGCACATTGGCATCAGGGGAAAGGGTCGCGACGACGCGACTCCTGATGGCATCGACATTCATCGTGGGGGAGCTCGCGGCCGTGACAGTGATATATTTGTGGGTGGATGGAAATGAATAGAGTTCGGTTGAATGCCCGCCGACCGGGTCGATTCACGATGAGAGGTCGAAAGTAAGAGTTGACGTCGGGGTGGTGTCAAGGTCGTTCAGCTTGAAAATTATGTATGGCTACAATGGCATTTGTTTTTCGACCGCCATCAAAAATGGCGGGGCATTCGTCAGAAGCAGCAGCAGGGAAATAGCGGATTTGGGTTAGACAGTCGACTCGACTGACGAATTGTGTGGACTTTCTCGATTTGTGTGCTAATTTAGGCCTCGATCTGGTTGGCGGCACTGGCAACAGTTGTCCGGTTCAGCCCAAAACATCCTGAATTCCCTAGGAGAATCGGCAGTAACCACGAACAGAGACCGCTGACTGGCCAGGGGAAATACCACAGTTGGTTTATATTGGTCTCTCATCACTTCTAAACAGCAAGCTGCGCGTGTTGGCTAAATTATCATTCATGGCCCATGGGACGAAGTTACAGCACTCCAGATCAGATCGTCAACAGCGAGGGGCCTCAAACGTTCAGAGTTCATACACGTGAGGGGGGCCTTCCTGCGAATCCACGTCTTTGCCAAATATACCCAGGTTATTACAGTGAAAAAAGCTCAATCAGTACCAGCCGTCCATTATTCGGCTGAGTAATCTTTTAAAAGCTTCAGGGAGACTGCCTCACGAGAGATTGACGATGTTTATGGCGATATGGAGTACTATGCGCGGTTCCACGTCAAAAAGCCTGTGTGTTCATCATGGTCCCTCTTTTGCCAGGGTTTACTTTATCGCCAATCACCTCCAGAATATACCCCTCGTTGATGGCACGCCTTATCGACATGTCCGCTTCTGTTCGTGGCTTCGAAGCCCACGACGAGGAACACCTTGACAATAGTTCTAACAGTTAGCATAATGTCGCCGGTAACGCAACAGCCACATGCAGTAGTAAGTGGCAATATTTCGGTACCAGCTGAGCAACACCCGAGTTCTCTTCTGCCCTTACATTTCCCAGAAATTTCTTGAGAAAAAAATTCTGAGGGTTCAGCCAGGGGTCCACTTGGGCGGTTACGAGCAGGGACCTCAGGGCAAAGGCGGTGAGGGTTGCGGGCAACCCTCTCCCAATCTCCAGAGATCCTACGGCCCACAAGGGCGGCCATGCCCAACGAACATTGAATTGACAGCGAATTTCATCGTCGTTAAGCGCACTATCCTCTGCGCCACCAACACAGCGGGCAATGAGTATTGGATGAAAGTTTTAGTGAGGACATGCTGGGTAAGGTGTGTAAGTATTCATGCAGTTGAGATGAGGCTCTTCCACATTCCACACGCAGCGGTCTTCATTCGGCTTGTCAGCATAAGGTTTGCTGAGCTGCAGCTGCCATAACGCATATCTGGCGCTGCTGGCTGCTGGCCCTAAAATCTCGAGGCCCTCGTCTACATGGTGTGTTTACGCCTGCCAAGATGTGACACAGTTCTACATTGTTGGAACTCTTCCTTTGCCACCGTGATCAGGTTCCAACAAAGCTTACCACCACTACCAAATGGAGGTTCCGGGCTTGCAAATAGATCCTGTGTAATACTGAGAGGTAGATGTCGGTTCCGGCATCTCCAAAGCGTATATCCGCCAAACAATATGAGTTCCATGCATAATACTCATAAGTGTTTCAAGTTTCAGTATCGTATTTTAAGTTTGCACTGCATGTAAGTAGCCACTCTGACGTACGCCATCGGTAAACAAACCCTCCAGGCCTTCAAGAAAGTAGTTCAGCAGATATTGTAGTCGCAACCGTCTCTTTGGTATGTCTTCTGGGTGCAAAATTTGAGTGTCACTTGCGACATAATACACAATGCATGCCTCATGGAGAAGTTTCATTGTCCAACAACTTCAAATGTCATTTATCTCCACCACAATGTTATGTCGAAGATGTTTGCGTCCTCGACATAATTATAAGATACACGTACAACATGCAAAACAGGACCATGATGACCTCCAAATCCAACCCGCACAACAACCTGTTCAATCCAGCATAGGTAAAACCAAATCTCGGATCCTTTGGCCACCCCCATCTCTGCGTCTTGCCCGCCAGCAAATCGCCAAAACCTTGATCTGCCTGTTTGGTTCGAGTCAGTATTTACGCCCACAGAGCTCCAGCTATCCAGTCAAACCACGGTGAATATAACAGGGAACAGAACAGAAACACAAAGCGACTACTAACAATGGCGCAGATAGAAGGGGTGAGTATCCTTTGTCCATGGAGACAAGTCCTGCTGGGGTAATGTATGTCCGTAGCAAACGGGTAAATCCAGATATCCAAGATCCAGTGATGCATGCTTGTGGGTTCAAGGTCCGTCATGGATTAAACATTGACCTCTGGTGGCTCGCATCATGAAAAGCAGAGTAAGCCGGAATATGGTAAGGTGTTATTGAATGGTGTCTTGTATTTTGTCCGCGAAAGTGGCGAGGTGACAAAACGGTCGTTCAAGAGCAACAAAATACGTCCTTGGGGAGAAGTGACACGCCTGAAGTGCAGAGCCGCAAGCAATGAGAAAGTCTGATCCGGGTATCCTCCGTGTGGGATTGCGCTCACATCTCTGCGGCATTAGTTGAAACCAGTACATTGAATGGCCGATTTGAGCAAAATGCCAGCGGTGATCCGGGAAATTGAGAGAAAGAAATATTGACGTCCAACGCTCCAAGAGCTGTGTATTTGGCTCATCCAGGGAATTATAACGGGGAGACGCTTACCAAGGTCGAGACTTGAATCTCTTCATGACATGTGATATTTTTTGATGCTCAGTAGAGCCGCAAGCCTCTCTCAGGTGGCAGCGTTGATCCAAGGCAGTGATCCGAGATATAATCCATGAAGTTGGCGGACGAATCCTGATTAATGTGCTGTGTACCATTTCTGAATGCGACAATGATGCGCAAATCCATCACATTGAATTCCAATTAAGGTCCGTGGAAGCAGTTCCTGAGTCCATAGGCCTTGATCTCCTAGTGTCCTGAATGGTTTGTCCTATGGGCATCCTGTGGTATCCTATGGTATCCTGTGGGTATCCTGTGGTATCCTGTGGAATAATAGCTGGCATTGGGCTCCTTCGAAGGTGGCTGTAGTCAGTACGTAAAGATCGAAGCTGTTCCAAAGGTCATGACCGGGGAAACAGTAGTGTGTAAATGGAAAATCCTTCACTCAGAGGTTGGCATATATATATACACTCCCTCTAGTGCTCACCTTTGCTGTCCGGATCTCGAGCCCTATTCTATTAGTAACCCCAACAGGTTTGACGCCTCACCATATCCTGCGCCATCCGAGGAAGCCCAAAACCCAGGAAAGTGGAAACAGACAGCCTCCAACCTCGTGGCTAGATCCGGACAGCAAGGTCGCAGGGGAAAATCTTCAGTGTCATCAGTCAATTGAGTGGTCCTCTTTTCCCGTACCACGCCCAGGTCTGGTATAACGTAATGCAGAACAAGCCAAGTTTTGACAAAAGCCAGATGAACAGAAACAGCAATCATCAACCGGCCTGGACCATCCATATGCAAATCGTGCAAATCGTAGCAGTTCCCGTAAGTGCGCCATGTCCATTCTGGTTGAAAAGTCCGTGCGATCCAGGGAGAAATTGTAAATCGGCCATTTCCAGTAGTATGAAAGATGATCCGAAAAGACGACGATCCTGAGATATCATCAAAGAATGCAAACTTGCAACTCTCGAATCTTGTGCGAGCCTCGCATGCAGGTCTATGGTACCTTGATGGAAAAGCGTCTGACCGGAAGTAGACCAATAACGGACCGTAGGGGACTCGAACTCCAGGGACAATGAAAATGAACAAATCATCAGGAATTCACAGGCAAGACGGCAGTCTCACAAATCCACAAGTCCGTTCATAATCCTCTGGACGGCCGCTCAGGGGCGGCTGCTGTGACCATGTCCACTGCGGTGGCTCCGGTGCTGGTGACGGTCACGCTCGCGCTCACGATCCGCGCGTTCCGCGTCACGGCGCGAGGAGGAGGATCCACTAGATGGCATCTGAGCACCGGATGGCGGCGGGGGCACTGAAGTGCGAGTCGCTGGGGCCGTCTCATATTGTGGTGCCTGTGTTGAGCTATACGATTGGGTGCCTGCTGGCGATGCTAAAAAATCAGAAACTACCGAGAGAGGTGGTCATAAGCGTTTCGTACACGTACCGCGTCCGTAAAACGGATCTTGTGGTTGAACTTGAGCGAATTGAGACGTCGGTGCGGATGCACTCGGTGTGTAGTAGCCAGGGCCAGAGGAGCTTGGTGGAAATGCCTGTGGTGGAGGCCCAGAAGTCACATACGTTGGCCTACCCTGTGCCATACTTGAAGCAGGTATTCCTCTTGGGCCGGCCGAGTATGGGTCACTCGTACCATATATCGACGACGGGTCTGCCCCACTGACTCTCATATGCGTGTTGACCTGGGTATATGGCCGTTCCGCATTGGGCTGGTAGTTTCCTGTTCCCGCCATGGCGACGTCTCTTTGGTAGGTCATATCCGCGGTTGACGGTGAAAACTGCGGTGGTTGCGCGGAACCATAGCCCTGTTGAGCACCATACCCACCCTGGTTACCAAAAGACTGGTTTGAATACGAGCCAGCGGCTCCAGTATATCCTGCATTGCCGGTTCCTGGGTATCTCGGAGTGGAATCATGCATGGCATCACGAGAGTCTCCTTGGTAAGCTGCTGGACCTGAGCCCTCTGTCGGGCCATAGTACTGTCGGGACTGATGTGTGTCCGAGTTGCGGTACTGGACTATCGGGGAGTTAGACTTCTTGATAAACAAGCCGTTCGCGTCACTCGCGGCGATAGTACCTCCAACCGGGTTGCGGGCGGTTTGCTGCCGCCGTTCTTGATCCCATCGTGCAGAATCTGCTTTGAGGTCTTCGATCATAGCCTGCGTAGGGGTAATAATTGAGCAACTGTTCGATTGCAGCCGGGGTAACGTGACACTCACTGTGGTTAGGTTTCTGTAGGCCGTAATGAAGTAACCCTGGACGACTTGGCCAGTTTGTGCCTGAGAGGAACAGCTATGGTCAGCGCGATGACGAAGACGAGTTCAGGAAAGAGCGGCGAGTACCTCGTAGACACCCGGCCGGACGAGGGCATCGTTGCCTAGATAGCGACAGATGTCTGCCGTAATCACTTCGCGGTCTATGCCATCCCGAGGTACGAAATACTCGTTTTGCCGGTTAGAGGCTGGCGGCGGAGGGTTGGATCGTCCTACTCTGGAAGACATCTTGATTATTGAAAAGGGGAGAAGATGCCGGCGACAAAGAGGTGAAAGAACGTCGAAGATGGAAGAGAAAATTGGAATAACGAGCAGGTAGGTGGAACGAGATAGCCCAGGTGTTTGAGAAGGCGGGCGGTGGCGGGGAGAAAAGGCCAGACGCTGCCCAGGTCGACTTGGCGGGGTCGCAAAACCAGAAAGGGCCAGCGGCAAGAACTGCTAGCGTGGCCTCCGTATGGTACGGTGGTAGGGTTGGACGACCCGACAAGGCTTAATCGCGTCACGCTGTTGGCTGACAGGGATGACGGCTTGTCTGAGTCCAATCCTGGACGGGTGGCGACAACGACACAACAGGCTAGTGATTGACTGCGGAAGACCTGACCAGACACCAGACCTGACAAAAAGGGGGAGAGGGTGGTGGTACGGTTGGATGTGCACTACTTCCTGCTGGCTGTCACTGAAGTCAAATGAGAATGAGCCAGCTGGAACGCAAGCTCTGGCTGGCTGTCAGGTGCGGTCAGAAATTTCGCCGAAGGAGCAGGAGGCCAATGAATAAGAAGGCCACCAACGCAGTGGAGCAGTATTACTGTGTGATCGGTGGTGCGTGGGTTGGTGTGGTTGGTTGATTGATGTTGGTGCGCAGTTCAGAGGACCGGCGGCCGGCAGAGTCAGGACTCAGCAATGAGCAGCGAGCAGGAGACTGTCGAGGCCGAGCGAGGTAGAGTGGTCCAGAGCCTGCAGAAAACTGACTTTGGAATACGTTGCCAATGCCAAAAAACGAAAAAAAAAAAAACAAAAAAAAACTTATATATGCACGAATATAAAGAGGTGGCAGAGAAAGCCCAACTAGAGGGACCGGGTAGTCAAGATCGTCCTGGAGTCCTGTGAGTGCGAGGCGAGTCGCTAAAGCGGTCGACAGCTGTAAACTCAGAAAGGTGGCTAGTAAGCGGGCCGAAGTTGCAGTAGTCCAGTCTTGCTTGAAGGAGGCGCACTGTGCTTGGAGGGATATTCGGCACGCAATCAGTGCAAATTGGGGCAGAAGTTCCCGATGACCTTTGACCTTCGATTCTTCTGAAAAGTTGTCGAGATCAAGTTGTAATTTTGAATAAAAAGAACTTTGAACGGCTGAAGTCGCAAGGTTCATAATACATCGCCAACGTTGGGCTGGAAACTTGGATGGCGCTGGGGCTTCAGTGGGGCTCTCCTTGTCGTTTTGGCTGACCGTAAAACGACGGCAGCAAACGGTAGTCGGTGAATGAATTGGGCTGAAGAAGAAGACGCAGCGTTGGAAATGGTGGACCTTGTGATGCAACCAGGCGACGGGGCAAACCGCAAACAAGAGCAACATCGTTCAGAAAAATCGTACACGCGGGAAGACACAGCTTGATGTCTCCTATTATACCACCTTGGAAGTCCAGAGCGTCTGGCAGTGTTGTTCCTCGCCGCAGGGCAAAGGGACATTGCTTCGCACACATTATTCTCTCTCCCAACTTCATTGATACCCTACCGACCACGGACTTCCCTGGCCCGCGGCCTCGGAATGGTTGGGCCACGGGCGTCGCTCGCACTCTGGGAGTTTGAGTTGTTTCTGACGAAGTCTCCATGTCTGTCGTCATACAACGAACACGATCTGGAGTGGACTGTATGCAGCGGGACTCGCTGTACAGGACGATAGTGCCTAGTATCATAATGGATCCGGTCCAGCGACGACAACATCCCGACCATGCTGCCAACGTGACGGACGGGCTAAGCTTTGTCGACGTGTTTCCAGAATCGTTCCCTGTGCACTGTGAAGCAGGCCGGGAATGGCCTGCGGCGAACATTCGACGTTGGGTACCAATGCGCTAGAGCCCAATGTAGCTGCAGGTGCCTAATAACTTGCCGAGGCCAATGGTTGGATCGAAAGTACTTCGTGTCACCATGAAGCAGAGACATTATCCAGAAAACAACGTATAGGAGGATCAAAGCAAACTAGGCCGCCTTGTGACGCCAATCGCCCAAATTTTAAATTTGGGCGGTTGTACCTGTTAGCTACATCGACAAACAACCCGTCAACCTGTCTCCCATTCGATTTAGAACTGAACGCCATTTACAGACCCAGGGAATGCTGCGACAGCCCTCGCCATCCTCACCAGGTGAACGCGACAAATGAAACGTTGCGATGCACTCAATAAACTCTGTTGGTTTGTGCCGCGGGACACGAGTAGTAGTCTTGTTTGACTGCTCGTGAGTGCGGCGTCGATATGGAAGCTTACCGCATGACCAGAACTTTCCAGCGCTTTTCGAGAAGCAAACCTGGATCATGGTCGCAATCAAACGGATTCCGGACGCATCTTCAGAGCTCCCGCCAGCCGGCACATTATTCCGCAAGTTCCTCATCAGCCGGCCTGTAGACCGATACTTCCATCGATCCAACCACATCGGGCGCTGATTCCTCAGTATCTGTTGACGACTATGCTTCACTATCTTCCACTATTTAACACCGCTTGTCAAGGTTTTCGTTCATCATTTTGAATTCCCGCCCTGGAAACACGAGACTTTTCATACCAACCTGCTCCATTACGTTGCTGCTGGACATTTGATCTACTGTAGTTAAACAACCACGGGAGGATCCACTTGACACCACTTGATATAACCAAGCGTGCTATTCGCTTCCGTTTGCGCTTTGCGTGTCATCCAAACTTCAGCTTGCTCTGCCCCTGCTCGAGCTTGTTACTACTCCGCGATGTCTTCTTTGAGGAGGATGCAGCAGCCTTCTTCTTTTGATTGTGTGGACCCGATGCTTGACTGGCAAATGCCGGCTTGCCACGTTCTTCCTCGTGGAGGTCTTTGGCAAAATGCCAGTCGAGGTGGCTTTGTAGAGCATTGCAAGTCTCGAGCCTTGCATCACAGCGCGAACATGTGTATTGGGTGATTGGCATCTCGTGGCTGCCGAATGCGCTCATTGAAACGTCCACCGGCCTATCTGAAGTCTGGTCCACGTCCACAACGTGGTGGGACAGTGGTGTCCGGGGAGCGCCACTCGCTTCTGTATCCTCCTCGTCCACTTGGTCAACACTACCAGAAGGGGTGCCCCGTTTGCCAAGGAAATATTGTATGCTACTATTCTCGACACGGCGTTTCTTAAGGGTAGGAGGATCCACATTCGGGTCTCTGGACCTGGCCTTGAGTTCCTTCGCGGCGTCGCCTTTCAGGAGGAAGGCGCTTATGCCCATGTTGCCTGATAAACCGTCTTCGAATCCTCCCACGCTCAGAGATAGATTGGCACAAGGCCATAATTGGCCTTCCAGAATGATCTGATTCATGAGATTCTTAGCAAGAGCGAATAATGTGGTCTCATCAAGAATTTTCCCTTGTGGGATCCCACTTCCGCGTGAGCGTGTTTGTCCACCGTGCCGGTAATGCAAATTGATAGTCTTTGGTCGCCGTTTGTTTTCGTGGACTCCTTCCTCCACCAGGCGTGAGAAAATGTCAGCAACGAAGATTCTCAACCACTTCAGAGCTTGGTCAAGCGTGTTAATGCTTGGACGGAATGACTTCGCCGAGAGCATGGATTTGATTTGTGTTCGACAGTTGACCTCACTGGTGTCTACACCGCGGATGGTGTTGTAGAGCCAGACGCCTGTATCATCGTCCAGTTTGGACTTCAGTTGTTCGACCGACACATGCATCAAGTCCTTGATGTTCTCTGTATTGAAGGTCGACACTAGCTGTTCTCCAAGCTTGCCACCCAGGTTGCGAATTTTGGTAAACTTCATGTCAGACAAGAAGCATTGCACGGCTCGATTACGGATCACTGTCTGTTGGTTGGGCTTCTTATGGCCAGAGCCCAATTTACTCAACATCTTGTTGCTTGCTACTCCCGCAGAGCAGGTATAACCGAGCTTCCTGTGGACTTCGGCTCTGATATCACGAACAATTTCTGAACCAATGAGTATGGCCACATCATCCCAATCTGGGTCATCCGTTTCGGCATCTGCATCGTTGAGATCAACCAAGGCATCGGCCTGCCAGTCAAGGGCGCTGATGGAGGGCAGTGGCAGCTTCTCAGTTGGATCGTCGTACGGCGCGGGATTCGTGAGCTCTGGGAATCTCTCGAGAAGAATCGAGTGGATTTGTGCAGAAAGGTCGATAAAAACTTCATCGATGCTAGCTTTCTCGACTTTCTGCTTGTCATGGGGCAGGCTTTCTTTGATGACTGCTAGAATTCGTCTCGACTGGAGCCTGTAGGGATCCAGGGAGACTTTGTGTGTCCCCATGTGAGCTGCTGCATCATCATGATAGGCCCATTTCTCGTCGCCCTCTTTCCAGGTGGCAACGTGTTGAGAAATGAGCTTAGGGCAAAGCTTTTTGGCATCTGTTGCTAAAATTAGCGCGGCTACGCCTAGAACCGTCCCGAATGGTTCAATAACGTAAGACTTGTTTGGAGTTTCTAGTTTTGTCCAAATGACCTGAGAAGAAAACAAATCCACGCCCATGTACCTTTGATGGTGCAATGTCGCCCGATTCCGTATTCGCGTGCAGGATAGTTGATAGCTATCAAGCCCTGCCTACTGCCAGTCAGCATGGAATTTGCGTGACACCGCGTCAGATGTTCTTCCTACCATTGCTGGACAGCCAATGGTTGGTCTTCAGGGGTTCCAAGACGAACCATTTCACACTGCGCATAAAATGCATCTAGGTCGATGTGTACGATGACTCTCAGAGGACACGAGGTCGAGTAGGATGCCAGCAAGCCAAGCTGACGATACGTAAACTGCGACTTGCGCCGCCCGGTTCCATACCCGGGGGAAGACCCTGCCAAGAAGCGCGAAGACATCGGAAGGGGGGGTTTGATGGATTGAGAAGTCAACAACGGGAAGAGGCTGGTGGCTAGTGATGTGTTCTTCTGATAAGCATACTAGGCATACTAGATAACAGATCCTCGAAGCTTCAGCGAACGCTGCGTCGCAACACTAGTAGACAGTCTAAATGAAGGAATTGAAGTATCGAGGTGAGATTGAGGCTGAAAAGGGACAATTCAATAGAGTGGCCAAGCGCAGCGGACGACTGCACGACGATTTGGGCTTTAACATAAAAGTGGGGAATCAACTACGTAATTGGCAGCGACTACCAGGGCTTCATAATACCACACTCATCTGAACTGCGACATGACTTCAGATCTATCAGATATTTCAATTGCTTTCATCACCAGCAACAACGCACAGGCGGTCATGGAGGTTGACTGGACGCTTCTTATAGCTGCTTCTCAAGCATCCCGTTCAAGCATGCTAATGAACATAACGGGCTTCAAGGTTTTATGTGTTTGTCGACTTCACGTTTGCGACTGCTACAACTTCAAGATGCGATTTCAAGTTTAATAACTCTCGAGGACAAGCTCTACTCTTATCACCAAGTCTCAGCTCGGAATTATTCACTACTCCAGAGTACGATATTATTCAGGAATTAAGTTAATCCGAGGAGTGACAATCGATCTTTGTGTATCGGCGATTGCATCACCTGCAAGCACACACAAACAGTCAAGTCGCTTCCATGCACATGCGCATTCTTTGCATAGATTCACAATGATCCCCCTCCTACATCCAAACTGGCGGGTTGTCGGTCAAGTGATTGATTCTCAATACAACACAATCCAGCAGACTCCTCGTGGTGTTCTGGGAGTGGTGTTGGTAGTTGCGACATGTGGGTTGTTTGAGAAGTCGATTCGTCCATGGTATAATTCTTGAGCCACTTCAAAGTCCCAATTAATGTTATGACAGCTTATTGCTTGTCATCAGTCAATGGCGGCAGGTTTTTGGCCATTGGGCTGTGTGAAAGAAAGCTGGTTGAGCAAGTTTGCTAGCCTGATCCCTCGCCACCTCCTCCCCCTTACCCTTCAAATATACCAACACATGGCCGCAGAAGTGCCATCAGTTCACCCTAGCCAAGAACGACTCGAAGGGTGACCGTCATCGTTCCTATTGTGGGTGTTGTAGTATTTTCGTCGCTGAATTCTGCATAGAACGTGGGACGGTGTGAAATCACTGAAGATTGTGCTTATCCGCCAAAGCTTGCTTGTGTGCCTGAACAAGTAACACAACCCGAGCCTGGTCCTAAATTGGCAGTGACTTTAGCAGCTGTCATCCGATCTGTATGCTAGAAGATCATACACAGGCTACTAGGCATGTCAGGGGCACAACGGCTGCATATGTGCTGCAGGGTAGCATTCTAGGAATAAAACAGCCCTACGAATCCATGGAATGGATATGCACCATGCAATGATTATTGGCCAGATGAATGAGAATCATCTTCCTCTGTCAGATACCCCAAAACCCAAGTCACTCGCAAGTATGCAATTACTTGGGCCAACCCTAGCCAGTGCTCGCTGAGTCCTTCGACATCTCAAGGCCGTCAATTCTTCCCATAATACGAGCCAAGAGCATGAGTTCCTCCTGTGTGACGTCAAAAAACATGGCGGAGTTCCAGTAAACAGCAAGCGCATACTGCTTCTCCAACTTTAGTAAGAAGCACATGGCATTCAAACCTGTCGCAATTAGCTACGCACCCCTAGAACTTGCCTTATCGATGCGCAATATGATAAGACAGAAGGCGATGAAGGTATAGTCTTTCGGATGTTGACTTCGCCTTCGGATTTGCATATTTACGTCAGGTTTGTACAAGCTTGATGAATCCTTCGCCCAGGCAATGAGTTTGCAAATGGATCCGCCCCGAGTATCTGCAGAGCTCAGGTATGTAGCCATAGCAGCTGAACACATACATCCGTAGGATAGTCTGCTGACTACTTTATCGTCAGTATAATTCATCCCATCCGAAAACGTGATATCTCCCACAGAGATATGCGGTCTCCCTATCTTCTATCTGATCGAAGAATAATTGCAGAACAGCACCACTGATTTCCAACGCAAGGCTTGGCTGCAAGATGACGGAGTTGCTAATTCTGCGAGAGCCAAAAGCTGGGCGTCAATTCGACCAATGGTGCCATCATTGATTGCACGATGCCCGAGCCTGACAGATCTAGTGCAACGGAACACATATCGAAACATCCCGACGACCGGTGGGGCCTTAAAACAGATGCTGATGCTAATCCTGCGCCCCCGAGCGGACCGTATCGCCATTATAATTTCATCATGCCGTTGAACGCTGATATATGATAGCTGCTGGTACATGGCGCCCGAAAATCGAACGAAGCTCACGCGGAATGTTCACGTTTGTGCTTCGCCTCCTGCCGTCAGTCAACTAGGACCGATGGCCACTGGAAGCACGCTGAGAGAAAATACGCCTCTGGTTTTCCCTTATTGACTGGCAATAGTTAGGTTTGGAATGACAGTTGCCTTCTTGTATGCCTGGCCCCAGGGACGGCTGAACCGGCCAGGGTTCCTCAGAATCTTCCTAGATATAGTTCTTGAAACATAAGGCAGAGTTCCGGTACCAGCGCTAGAGAATTGTGTAAGTAATGTCGGCACTGGTGGTTCATGACTTACAGAGACCGGGACAATTCTAGTCGGGATTGTCCAAGACTCTGCTCAACTTTCCAGGAGACCCTTTCGAATGAATATATCTGTGTCCTTCCTGGTATGAAAATGCTTATTGGAAGAATAGTCACAGCCTCCGCTCGTTCCATTCGTCACACTACAGCTTGTATTGGTCATCTCTAAATCAACAGAGAATGGTTTACACATACTTCGGCCGCCATATCTAGTGTCCATTAGCAATGCCACCGTGGGCAAGGCCCTCAAGTTCTACGACGAAGAAGGCAACTTATTACCATATAACAAGTCAGCAATGGCCATACGCCTCCCCGAGCTGGGGGCAGCTTGTGACGCCCTGATGTAGGGTCAAGTTGACGCTTCTTTGCCTCTCCGAGATGAGCCTCCCTATCAGCAAAGTCACGGATTGCTCGGATGACAACACGGCCACATCGTTCAGAGTTGCGGCTCTGCTACTTTACAAGTAGATGACAATTTGGAGACATCCTGAAAACCGATATAAAGCGGGTCATGGGTAGAAAAGACGACGCGATGCTTCGCCATCTCTATCAGTATTCCAAACGACTCTGCAGCCAGAAATCCAAATCCATACACGTCACTCTCCTCGACTGAACCAGGATTTCGATATTGTTGATTGGAAACTTTGTCAAGTTGTCCGTACTGGTCTACATCTAAATTCCACCTTCCCCATAGCGGAACTTCGAGCCCATTGCCACTCATCCTCGCCAACTGTCGTCGAAGTTTCCAAGCCCAAAGCCTGTATCCATTGATGAATCAAGCAAGCACAAAACGGTGCCCACTTGCAACAATGTTATACAAACCGAATAATACCGCATAGGTTATGTGTACGCTGACCCCTTTCACAGGTCGGACGAGGACTCCCGAGAAAATGCTCCGTCAGACGCGGAAGAAGAACCCCCAGTTTCTGATATCGAGACTACCTCGGAGAAGTACGAGTGTTGCTACTATGAGGAACAGGCGAACTTCAATTACAACTCCAGGAATGGAGCAGTCGTGTGTCCGAGCTGTGGTCATATGAGAGATATAGACAGTCAATGCTGCGAAGAGGTTGCCTAGATGAGTGGCTGAATATCGAACATGGTAAATTGTGCTCAGATATCTTGTCGGAAAGCCCCCGAAGGAAGAAGCAGGGGGTTAAAGACTAGATACGAGGTCAAGGCAGAAGAGGGGGGGGAGGGTCACTAGATGAGATATGTTCTTGTTCTTTTATGTGGTATTTCATTAGCTGTATGTCAAAAGGTCGTCGAGGGGTCAGAGATCGTAATTTTGGCAAGCAAGTCTCGCATTACCGGGTGTGAAATATTGTCATTCGTTTCAAACATTATAACAAGACGCTGTGCTTTTCACTTGAAAAGCTGAATCCTTGGTGTGAAGTTGTCATCAAGACCAAGAGATCAATTACTCTTGCCTAAAGTATCCCAAAGACATCTTGCAAAACTTGGCGTACATAATGACAAGGTTGCTGCACCGTGATGAAGTCACAATACTCAAGTGAACAAACCATCAACTATATCAATAGTTAGCCGACGACCATGATTTGGACTCCCTCGTGTATTCCCACTTATTGAGTATCACAAGTGCCTACTTACTCAGTATAGTGAATAGACTTATAGTGGGAAGTAAGATGGCAATCTTATCATTTCAGACAAGGTTAGGGTTGCACAAGCTTCCGATCGATAGAAATTATTCAATAATAGTTAAGGCAAGCTCAAGCTACTTAGAAGAAGTTCAGCATCGACCGGAACCTGCGCTCAGGGGAACAATAGACTTGCATTGAAAAGTAGAATGGTAAGTTTCCTATTGCAGAAAGTGGCAAAATGAGGCGATCAGAGTACGTTGGCACGTGGTCGCCCACCAAGACAATCTTAAGAAACAATCCCAAGATTTATTGGACGCAAAATACGGTTCCGGAATTTTGGCTTCGTTTATTTCATCTCATCCTACAGAGCTGAGTTGGCAGTTTCAAGTAATCGCGTGACTGTTACAGACTTGTTATCAAGTCGATGTTACCAGAAATCGGATCACACACTATGAAGTACTTCATCTTTCACGGGGGATGCTTGCTTAGGAGTTACAACTATATCAGATCCAGACTTGATTCATATCATATTTAATTTGGGCATCCATCGCTGCTATGTTTTGGATGTTTGGGCATCATTGCATTAGTACGAAACTAGGGCAGAAAGCTCCCCTTCTCCTTCTGACTGGCTTGTGCTACGCTCCATCAACTTCAGCATGCTGGTGGTACAGGCCATACCTAACTCGGACGTGTTTTCCACAACATCGCCTGCCTGCTACACACGATGTGTCATCGAAGCGGTGACTTAAGCCATCATCATTTGCACACACACTTTGTTGATATGGCGGGCAAAGCCCATAATTGATCTAACTGCGTATTATATCATTGACAAAGGAAAATGTGTTGTGTTCCAGTCGCTATTAAATTATTTAAGACAAAGCATCTATGTGCATCGCAACATCACGCTGATGTGGTTGGTCTGTGGCGTATAATACTGCCTGTATCAAAACCTTCAACCGTAACGCCATGTGTCCAAGGGTATCGTAATATGCTGCTGGTCGTATCCCTTTACCTCGTAGTCTCGCTCATCTGAATCCAGTTTGCTTCATCCCGTGGCATCTCGCCAATGCCATACCTCGCGCGGAGCTCGCTCAATAAAGGCCCCATGCGATAATAGCTTTCTTGGCTATCATGGCACGTGCAAGGTGATCTCCGCAGAGGAAGAAACCAGTCTAGGATATTGTTTCCCATGACGTCTTTCCAATTCTGCCAAAACCCTAAGTCCCAAGGGTTCTCTCCCGGGTCTGTCCTTAGAATTGCATAAGTTCGTTGCGCAAGAGCATCTCTTGCGTTCTGCGGTTCTTTCGGGTGTTCAGATGAGCCATTGATCCCAGTATCGCCATTTTCCGTGCTCGCATCCCCTTGATCTTTCGCTTGCTCATGACCATTGCTGCTGTCACTGTGAGGGCGTTCACTGAGACTACCCATAGCTGCCGTGAGAAAACCAAGCATTTTCGTCGAGCTTTCCGGTCTCGGTAGGGGGTAAGTCACTGTGTTATACGTGTCGGTCGATGGGGTTCCAAGCGGAACCCGAACGGCAAGTTGGTAGACTTTTGACTTGGCTCCAAACATATCAACATTAGTCATATTGATCGAAATGTATCTCCATGACGCGAGTGTCATAGACAAAGTGAAAAGTCCGAAGAAGCCAGCAAGCCCGAGGACACCAATAAAGTGGCTGTCGAATGGTTCCCCAGCGCGAATTTGCTTCTGCAGGCTGGATCCTGCAGCGCCGAGCACTACGCCGCAGTAACACGCTGTGTACATGGTGAATTGCGTGAAGAACTTGAATGCTGCACGTTATCAGTATCATGATGCGCCAAGTGCCGTGATAGGAGCCAAACATACAGTTCTCGCCGACCATGCCACCAACCCAGGGACAATAATGGTCCATCCTAGTCACACAACGGTTGATTTCGCTGCTGTGGTGAGCGCGGTCAGACTTCCAATTGCAACAATCCGAGCACCACTTGGGACGACCATCATTCTCACACACGAAGACATCCTTGGTGTAGAACTGCTCCAGGCCCGGGCTGTCAGGATTGGGGTCAGGGGAGACGTAATACGGCTGGCCCTCAATATCCCCTTCGCGGGACGGGGTTTTCGGGCTCCTCTTCTCTTTCTTTCTTCGCTCAATGGCCAAAGGGCCCAGAGGAACAAGGCCGGGATCGGTATTAATGATGGTGATGGTTCGAACGTACGTTGCAATCATAAGAAGCAGGAGAAGGAAGTAGAAAACGAGGATGGCTGTCGCAGCTCCAACATCGCCGCGCGAGTTGATAAGAAATTTGACTATAGGGTCGAGAACATAGTCAGTAGAGCACGTAACCTCGGGAGCTTCGTCAAGAGAACATAGGGACTCACCACAAACTCGAGCGACAACAACGAATGTCGCATAACCAACAGCGCTGGCCAGTATTACGGGTATACTGCGGGTGACCCACCGCGACGAGGCTCTGACGCTTTCAGTAGGCATCGCCCATGCATCCTGGTGTTCCGACCTTGAATAGAAAAGAAAACATAGAACGAATGGATGGTCAGGAAGCGCGGGAGATGGGCGTGGGAATCAGCTTCGGCGTCGTCGTCGCGGGTTGCATGGAACAGGAAATACCAAGCTTTCCGGAATCTACTTTAAATTGGAAACTGGGAAGGCACGTGCGGCACTAATGCCCACGGTTCTTCCTCAACTGTAATTTGAAACTTGCAACCTTCTTCCAACCTTCCACTTTCCAGCTGTTGCGATTTTACAGCAAGACTCGGCATCCATTGGGTACCGGCCAGCGAGTTATAGTGTCTTCATTCAAGCCGGAAAGATAAGACGAAAAGCAAGCCTCCATCAAAACATGGAACGAACAAATCGTGAATCCACGCAGGAAATTTCCACCCTCCAACCTTGACTTTAGTCTCTCAAAATGTCACGTTTGTTACTTCGTAACAATGCGCTCATTGTTAACGAAATCCTTTGTTTGAAGTGGCACCTAGATGTGGGCACCCAACGGCCAACCTGTGGACTGTGGACGCTTGGACACTGACTTGCTGGCTATTTCGCGCAGAAGGTCCCACAATCACGCAACTTACTATGGTAGCCTAGCGGGGCTGCACCAGCGGTACTTCAGCAGTTCCTTGCTGATAAATACTCGCTGGGCATAACGACTTGATGATTGGCGTGAAAGCATTGGGCAGAAGTGTTGAAAAAGCAGCGTTCGGCTCCATCATTTGAATCATACGCGCTACGTCTAATGGTGGTTGAGACTCGAATCCCCTGACACCCGTTGAGTTGTCCGAGTACATAACTCAAGCCCCTTGATGGCCTGTTGGCCATAACTACGGAGATGCAATCGAGGACACGCCTCTTTCACCAAGAGGGTACCTTGTTCTTCCAGTTTGAGTCACTTTTCATGGCAACGAACCCCTAGAAGATCACTGGAAACCCCTTTTTGGCCATTCTTCTGGTCGGACTGTTGTGATATGCTTGGCTACCACAGAGTGACCTACTTAAGTCCAACAAGCGCCCAGGACCAACGTTAGTAGCAGGCGACTTGCTTTCACAGCTGGTAATACACTAGCTCTATGTTCTGGTGGGTCAATAATGGAAGCATGGAGGAACAAATCAGGGGATGCCACTTTGACAGTTGGTCATTGCGACCCGTAGCCAAGTTGGGTTTACCTGCTGCCAACCTCTCGCTAGGAAAGACTAGCAGCGGAAGCCAGAGTTGTCTATCCTACGGCCCAGTATGCTCTTTTGCCGTTATTCAAAAACATCAACAATCGCCCAGAGTCTTGGCCAACTCATTCGGTCACCCTTTGGGGATGGACCTCGTTGTTCTCCTGCGCCCGAACTCAGAGAAACTACACAGGTATAATTCGGAAAGCCGTCAACTCTGCTACTAACGTCTATCAATTTTCAAATTATACCTTACTCGTGCGGCTCAACTCGTTGAAAATATCCCTGGAATTAGTCTCTCGCCATGGGAAAATACAATTTTGGATGCTTGGAAGCTGCTTGGAACTACACTCGTCACCGGGGCTTTTCAGCTGTGGGAGACTGTTGACGCCGTGCTGATATCAAATTGCATCAAGAGTACAATACACTTTTTTATTCTAGTGCACGAGGCTCTGGGCCTCGTCTACCAAAGCCTGAGTGTTGATCCGACGACGGTGCGCTACTTGAGTCACATCGACCGATTCATATCTCCAACACCTGGTGCGGGCGAGGCCTGAGGGTATATAGACTTCATCCTCATCACTATTAGGGCATCACTGATTAATGATCAAGGCTCTGACTTGTTTGCATTTCATCAAAATCGTATGAAATGGCGAGGCAGACCCCATGAGACCAACCCCGTGAAGAAACAACACTCGATAGACCTGCTGATACCTATCACCTTCATAGTATTGGTTTGTCTTGCGAAAAGCGACCCAGCCTGATCAAGTCTCTGTAGTACAACAAAGTCCGGATTATATAAACTGGCCCAAATGCCATTTTTTCCCGCGCGCACTAGAGCTATGACGGAAACTTATCCTGTTATCCCCATATCTCCGAAAAACGGCGAGTCCTGTGTTAGGACACTGAAAGAGTCGAGTGCCGAGAAAGCACAGCTCCGTGTTTCCAAGGCCGACTTCATGATGGAACACGTTGAATGCCTGCGACGGAAACCACTCTAACGGGTTGCGTGGTTGGTAATTTCCTCAAAGTCTTGACAATATATGCTAGTCTGACGTTTTTGCGCAGGTATTGAGAGATGCCACTGCCCTCGTCGGATTGATACCATTCACAATGGTCATTATTGATAACGCGCAATGTTTTCCATACCAATCCTCATGGAGCAAAACTCGAATCGACGACGGCATGATACTGCGCGTGGTGCAGATGGAAAGCATACGCGCCTTGTCGAATACATGACTAAAATGCATTGCACAACTTTTCCGGCAGGAGCAACACTTGCAAACTCGGTGAACCGATGTCGGCTCAAAATCGACAGGGCAAAAAAAAGCCCATGCGAAAGCCTTCCGAGGAGTTATTATTCCCTCTGGTACAGAACCAGTCGCCATCGAAACGTCAGCTTGTTGAGCATCGCTGGGATTATGCAACGTTGAACAGAGCTGCGCCATTAACCCTGATGTGCTGTGTCAAGAAATTTTTTCAATTCGGTGATGAAATTTGCTGCTAAGGCTCTTGTTGTGTTGCAGGTTCGGTGAGTTGTATGCCGGGGCGAGGATGGGCGATGTTACACAGCCTTGCTCCACTTCTGGGCACAAGAAAGGATGCGCTCAGCCACAGGTTTGTTACCCCCCAGTCTCCGAAGACATGTGATGCGGCTCTGCGCGAGGCTGTGGTTTCAAAGCGTGCCAGAGAGATTATTGGATTCGGCGGTTTAGGCTGGTTTACATGATAACAATAATGTGCTTTCAGCCCATCAAACGTTACTTGAACCGAGGCTTTCGTGGCGACGAACCCGAGCTTGTTTCAATCGTATTCGAGGGTATCTGGCCATGCCATATGTTGCCATGCGTAGAAGATCTAGAGCCCTGTGTGTGCGTGTGAGAGCGCTCGGTATAGTCGACCACTCCACTTTTGCATTGGACAATATACGAGCTAATGACAATGATTAGCAGATACGAACCCTTCACTTTGTCGGTAGTATTATTGACCGCAATCAGGCGTCCTGTGCTGGCGGTATCAATGACCAGCGGGAATCTCTTGCACGGGCAACGGAGGCGGAGCCGACTCATTCGGGGCCTCAACGTCTGCCAAAGTCCAATCATTCTGCAAAGCCCTTTTACCGTAAAATGGGAATGAGGTAGTCGTCGAATTTTCACCGCTATTTACACCGAAATCTATCATCGGCTCAGCATAGGCATTGCACTTCTTTTTGTGGTTATGTCGTCCAAGTGGTATTTTCTGTCTGCAATTCTAAGCCTTGCTGGAGTAACGGTGCCCGGATATACGCCTTGGTTAACGATTGGTATTCTGTGGCATTATGTGAAGATATTGGCCTCATATGGTAATTCCAAGGAGATGTACATTGCAGATTGTATAATATATTCCTTGTCGATGAATCGACATGACTTCTGTATATAAGGGCACCTTTGATCTTCTAGTAGGTCTTCATTTACTCACATCATCAGATCTTCTTTGGTGCACACTACTATATCCTTCAACTCTCTCCATTCACCGATCTCAGACTCCATCAAACGGGTTCTTAGCCTGCCATTTTCCTATACATCATGGGAAATACAATTCATATTTGGTATTGTGTAAGCTAAAACCAACTTGCAACTTGACTCTCCTATGTCTAACCAAAAGAAAGTGCCAATGTGGATCGATGGAAACCATCATTTCCAGTCCGTGTTGCTCCACTGCTCATTGTCAGCATATACGCTGTACCGAATGCCATGTTGAGACATTCACAAAGCCAAAGGGAAACAGATAGTGAGTGGGTTAGAAAATAACAGCAGACGAAAAATACACGTTTCCTAACTATCAAAATAGGACTATCCCATAGGGGACTTGGGGCCTCACTCTCATCAGTCCTCAAGGGATCAAGGGTTTCAACATACCATATGAGCAACATCAACTGTGTTGACGCCGACGTCCCCGTTCCCTGCCTCCTACATCATTCACTTCTCAAAAGGTTTTACTATTAGACATTTCATGTGGCTAGCCGCATATCTCAAAGATCGACGGCTCCCATGTAACGACAGTATTACCTCAAATTTGAAACAGCCAAGCACACGAAGACCGCGAGATAAAGCGCGACTGTTTCATTTCGACTCATTCCGTATAGATGGCCTTAGGATTGCAACAACTTAGATTCGATAAATTCAACCGTGGCAACACTGTCAACTCCTCGTCTTGCATCACGGCATTTTTCTCGTGCGCATTCGGTATGCGATGGCGCGGTATACCACGGTGTTCGAGGCTGGTTCTTGCTGGTAACGGGTCAATGGCTGGGGAATTCAGTTCCGGGGGTTCAGTATGGATCGCTATGGATTTTGCGACGGGTTGTTGTTTGTTCTTTCCATTTCTGGTTCACGTATATTGTCACGACTATCTTTAAATTTGTATTGTTTCATTCAGATCAACTGAACTTCAATATGTCTTGTGTCTCGTGTCTTGATCAATTGGAATTGTGATTATTCAAACTCGTGCAATGACTAGGGTGTCTGTTCAGTTATAGCCTGAAGTTCCCCAGGTGTAATTCTTAAACTTGTAAACTTCTACATTTATCTTGACTTAAGACTTTCGAGTCAGAGAATCAAACTCAAGTAGGCCTTGAACTTTCTGTAATCACAGCAACATCGAGAAAGACAGGAAAATACATTGGCGGTGTCAGGTTCCGATTAACTAAGTAAGATTTATGGGTTTCTTTGACAGGTTCGTTACTTCGTGCATACTTCGTACTTATGCTCTGCTCTGTAACGACACGTCGACAACCCCTGAAATGATTGGAAGTAGGCTATTTGCAATACCGATTCGATTACATCCTTTATATCACTCAAGAGCTCCGTCTCAGATGAGCTAATTTCGCCAATTCGTGGGTAGATCTTAAGATGTCCCGCATTCAGTCGCAAGTTGTAATTTGTAGTTATGGCTTGCAGCATTTGCCAGCTCCGCAACTAGATGGAGCAATCGCAAAAAGACTGTCAAATATGACTTCAAAACATGTCATTAGCTCATGGCTACAGTCAAAGTTGTATGTTATATAGTACGTTAAGATACGCTTTATAAGTAAAAGCGCATCGCTGAAGGCTAATGATTCCCTAAAATGAAAACCACTTATGGATACCCGCGCGAGTCAGCATCCTTAATCCTCGAGCTCTAATCCTAGTCGTGACGTCATGACATAACCAGTCGGTAAGGGTTTATGAAGTCCTGCCATCTCAATTTCCGGTTTCCTAGGGCTGAACGGCACAATTTTAGACCGTCCAACTCTCAAGCCCCTTGAACTAGAGAGAAACAGGTAATTCGGAGATAAAGGTTCGCATTCGTCAAATCAAAAACGAACTGCGACACTAACTCCGTCACATCGGGCCGTGTCTCTGTTGATGAACACCGTTCATACACATATCGGACTCGCAAAGGATTCGATCTGTATCGCATTAAGATCATGACTTGAAATGGCGAGGGCTAGCCATGGGAAAGGGGATTGTAGTTATGGAAAAGTATATAGGCCATGGCCATCGCATACTGGTCTGATCTGTCACTTGCACGTTCCTCGAAAACCAGTTTGAAACATCATATTTTCCAGCTTTTTAGTGGCATCAAGCATAATCACACTTCTTCAAATTCACACCTTCCTTTACCAAAATGCCAGAAAATAGAGCGGACCTTCCTCGAAGGCGCCCAAACCCGCCCCCTCTCCATCAAGCCAGCCCCGTACACCCCACTCGGCCCAGACCAAATCGTCATCCGCAACGGCGCCTTCGCCCTAAACCCCCTCGAGTAAATCAAGCAACAACTAGGAAACTTCGTCTACGGCTGGGTAAAATAACCATTCGTCATGGGCAGCGATGTCGCCAGCACCGTCGTGGAAGTCGGCTCCAACGTTACACGCTTCAAGGTCGGCGACCGCGTTCTGGGCCACGCCCTGGGCATGGAGAAGAAGTACGACATGTCGGCCATGTGCGGATTACAGCTTTACATCGTGCTGTTCGTCAAGATGACTAGCCCAATACCCGATGCGTTGCAGTTTGAGAGGGCGACTGTGTGCCTTTGGGACTGTCGACGGCTAGTTGTAGACTGTTCCAGCAAGGAATTTCGAACTTGTCAAGTCATTAGGAGCCAAGAAGGCTTTCGATCATAAAAGCAAGACGGTCGTGCAGGATATCGTGCGCGAGTGCCAGGGCGTGAAGATGGCAGAGGCGATGTCCATCGGCGACGGCGCGGCGGAGGGCTGTGTCAAAGTGCTCGGACAATGTGAGGGCAATAGTTTTATTTCCCAGGTTCGCTCCCCGACGCCAAAGAATAAGGACGCTGGGGGCCTGGTTCGGGCTTGGTGCTTCATGTCATCCATGGCATTGTTGTGGGTCAAGGGTAAGAGCAACGGTGTGCGGACCAAGTTCGTCTGGGTGGTACGCTGGAAGAGAATGAGGTCGGCAAGCTCATCTATGAGGATTTCTTGCCTCAGGCTCCGGAAAGGGGGGACTTCGTTGCGGCGCCGGAGTCACATATTCCGAAGAAGAATTTGGATGCTATACATAATGGACTTGAAATGTCGGAGAAAGGGGTGTCGGCCAAGAAATTAGTTGTGTCGTTTTGATATAGTACTGAGTATATTCTCCCACTTGTTCTTTTCAATGGCCATGAATTTGAGTCACTATAGGGCAAATTGGATTATCTGCATCCCACATCATCTGTTGGTTGGAGAGTTTGACCGTTTAGAGCATCATAAAACAATGTATGAAAATACATAATCACAACATAAGGGTACTCAATGGGTGATGTGTTGGTTCCCAATGCGCACTATGTAGCGTCTCCTCTAGGTTCAAAAACAATGGACACGTATAATTAAGATTCCCTATCTGCACAATGGTGATCAGCATCCTACCTCATCGAAGCTCAAACCGAGCGAAACATCGTTATACTGAATCCCAATGCGAACTACTTAGGCTCTAGCTAGAGTCTAGGTTTCCAGGCCGTTCTCCCTTTGTCTACGCCCTTGAAGATCCATTATACTCTTTCTTTGGAACACATAACATTCTCTCAGGTAAAGATTCCTTACTTCCCACTTCTTGGTTTAACAGATTGTGAATAAGTACAGGCTGTGCAAGGGCTTTATTACTGAAAAGGTAGCTTGGTCGATTTTCACCTTGCTGGGATATGCCTGTACCGTTGAGACTCTTTCATCCGACTGCCCATGGCTAACACCTGGAGAGAAAGTATAGAGCCTGGTGATATTTCAAAACATTGTTATTGTAGAATATGATATACTGCGCTATTTAAAGTTGCTGCTAATCTGTGTAGCTCACACCAAAAGCAAAGCCATCGAAGACAACACCGCTTCAAGCAAATCACCCGCACTGAACCTACTCAAATACAGCTCATTAGAACTAGAAGATATGGCGACATATAGCCTTTTCGCGCGCTGGGCAATGAAGAAGAACATGAACACGTCTAATCGTAAGCGGAACTCTGAAAACCAGGCGGGCCCTACTAGTCGTGCAAAGCGGTCGAGGAAGACACTACTTCTAGCAGCCTGGAGAGCTTACTCCCATACACGGTCCCAGAATCGGTTCGAGGGTGTTGAAGGGGACGAAGAAGAGGGAAGAGACAGTGTCCGCAATGAGGACCACGATAACAACAGTGTATACCAGACAACGGCTGCTGCCGCAAAATACCCTAGAGAAAAGGAGCCGAGTGCTGTCGCTACTCCCACCTAGGACGGGCTCAATCATAGCATGCGAGATTGGGCGGTCCGAAGCTTATTGCGACCTAGAAACGAACAAGGCCAGGTGTCAGAGCCCAAGTGTGGGGTTATTCACAGCTTTTCAGCCAGATGGTAAACTACGGCGCCCTAGATCACAGGTTGCCCCGCCGTTAGAAGTCACTGGTGAACGGCCGAGCTGCTGACATTCTCCTTTATAGACGTCATTTAGTGAGATGGATTCCTAAAGACGCTATGCGTGTAAAAGTCAGTTGGTTAATGAAAAGATGGACAAGACATAAGTACAGCTGTTCATTGCTGTAGGGTTCTGCAGAGCCCCTAATAAGCAATATAGTCTCTAAACTGTAGATGGCAGGTTCTTGCGTCCGAGATGAAATCTCAGTTGGCGTTTATAAGTTGCGAGTGTGATGATTTGAAGCAGGCAAATTGCTTCATGTTGAGGTGTAGACGAGGTTTGAGTAGAAGGATGCAATTAGGGAGGCTGTAAAGCAATGATTTGATGAAGTTTACCCCGCATTACCGCCCTTGAATACCGAAGCTGATCTCCACTCAACTTTACCCCACAAACCGACTGCGAGAGAGTGACAACGAGCTTCGAAGCCGACCAGTATTTGACGTTGGATTTCCAATGGTTTGCCCGAGCGCCCCTTCACATCTCCCGCTATCTCCTCTTCCTTGGGTTACGTAGGGTAGCATATTGCTCGTGGTACGTGGACAAACCAACATGCATCTCGCCTCCGTTGCATGCCCCGGTATACATCTGCCGGCAAGCGGGTGAAGGATGAACAGGCTACAAAGTACGGATGACCGAGCACTTGGATAATCCCAACTGCAAGAGGGGGTAAATTGTGATTCTTTTTTTCACTCATGCCATAATTGCAGCTCGTTCCCCTCTCAAGTTCGTTGTACTCGGTGCTTTCCATCTACATGCCTCGCAACTATTTGAGTCTGAAGATATCAAGGTAGGAGATCATCGTCGCCATGGCACCTCAAAGAGAGGCCCCAGTCCTTCTGGACCTGACAATCGACAACATCACGCCGAATACCAACCGCATCAATGCACAATGCGACGACCCGCGACTCAGATACTTGATGTCCCGTCTGGTGACGCACCTCCATGATTTCGCCCGTGAGACACGCCTTAGTACCGATGAATGGATGGCGGCTTTGAACTTTTTGGTTGGGTGTGGTCAAATCAGCAGCGACGTGCGCCATGTAAGTTCCCATCCAACAGATACCGCGAATACCCCCTTTTCGAGGACCCAGGTAGGCTCCCTCGCGGTATGAGACCAACCTACCTAACGCACCACCCTTCCAAGGAATTTATTCTGCTATCCGATATCCTCGGCCTCTCCCTCCTCATCGACAGCATCAACCACCCCAAGCCCCCTTTATCAACCGAAGGCTCCGTCCTGGGCCCGTTCCACACCCACGATGCGCCGGTAATGCCGAGCGGCGGCGATATGTCGTCTGACCCCGAGGGCGAGCCACTACTGTGTATCTGCACGGTCAAAGACACACACGGGAAGCCCATCCAGGGCGTGCAGATTGACATTTGGGAGACAGACAGCAGCGGACACTATGATGTTCAGCACGAGGGACGGGATGAAAAAGGACCGAGCGAGCGGTGCGTCATGGAGAGCGATGCAAACGGTCGGTTCTGGTTCAAAGGCATCAAGCCTGTGAGCTATCCGATTCCCCATGATGGCCCAGTTGGGAAATTGCTGGAGAGACTTGGACGGCATTGCTGGAGGCCTGCGCATTTACATTTCATGTTTCGGAAGGAGGGGTTAGACAATTTGATAACGTAGGCTCCCAAAGCACCTCGGTGACTTGATGAAAGGGTCGAAGCTAACACAGATCAGGGCACTCTATCTCAGAGGCGATCCATACGAAACCTCCGATGCCGTGTTTGGCGTCAAGAAAAGCCTAGTCATCCACCTTGACAAAGTGGATAAGGCCACCGCCGAACAGTACGATGCTAAAGAAGGCGCTTGGCTGTTGAAGCACGATTTCGTCTTAGTCACCCAGGAGGATGCTGATAGGTTGAGAGACCAGAATGCGACTAAGGCACTCGAGAAATTAGGGCTGAGGATGAAATTGGTGGATCATCTTCCCATCCCAGATGTCGACTGATTACCCAAGTAGGTACAAAGACGTATGTAGAATTTTTTCTTCAAGCGACTGACCTTTGCGAGTTAATGCCAGTACATCGGTGCGCATTTACGTCTTGATATTGAACAATACATATTTAAGCTTGTAGTTATGTTTTGTTCCAGGCTGGACTTCACTGCAACGGCATTTTCCCTAGAGAATCAGGAAATAGAGAGCCATGCGCCGTTGATATTTGCTGTAAACTCCGGGAGGCGATTCGGTGGGCTGGCTAATCAGGTGGTGACTTTCGAAGACGGGGCGTCATGTATAGACATAATATGGCTAGCGCTGCGACAGCTTGTGACTAAGTCAAATTATTTTGAGGCCGTTGAACTTGCATGAATGCCGGTTTGGATCGTTGCCATGCTTGCTTTCTTCAGAGTTGCGATAGTTAGTGCCTCGGGACTCAAGCTCAGCACTCCATAGCCACTTCCGAGTGCGAATAGAGAGAACTCAGTGGCCTATCTTCCCTCCAGCCTTACCGAAGTACTCACGTCGATGGAATTGTGACGTCAGCAGCTTCACCTAATTTGGTATACACTGACATGGTTATAAGAAATGCCTGCCGGACTATGGCTGATGCTTGGTGCCCAACACGAGGTAGTTATGCAGAGAACTGCTTGACGAAGTTGGGGCGGGCTGAAAGCAAGGTATCGCAATGCAGTCGAGCTTTGTACCCTAGCCTGGACTGGAGCATTACACTGCGGCTGAGCATTGTGCCTGAGCATCTGGAGGCTCTCGTCGTTTTCGGTGTGTGCAAGTACATGTCTTTATCAATCGCCGTCTCTAACAACGAAGGCCAATCCGGAAACGGCAAAGTCAAAGGCACCTGCGGCTGAGCTGGAGCGCCCTCCTCCTCCCATAACATCTGTACCTGCCAAAACGGCAAGAAATAACCCCGTCTAGATCTAATGGACGGCACCGCCGCTTGACACGCCGGTATTCAGAGACTCGAGTTGTGGTACTGCCACGGACGGGGTTGGCAAGAAACAACCTGGAAGTCAATGTCTCCTGGCTTGACCACCAATTATCTGTCATCTTTGATTCCCAACGAGCCGAAGCCCAGTCGGTCGGATATCTTGATGTGGTACGTCAATATCCTTGGCAACGACAACTACGCCGACGAGCAAGAGATACGGGGAATTTGGACCGTCTGGTTAGCTTGCCGCTTTTCAAATACAGTCAGATATGTCCCAAATTGCCGTTGGAGGCGGTTCCTGATGTTTTTGGTTTAGGGTAAGTTGACTTATCCCGCTCCGAGGATCATCACTCGGCATATCAGCTGCACAGGCCGGTATTCATGTCGGCCTTTTCCATATTCTCTACGCTCAAGCTACAATCTCTGACTGATGGCCTTCCGGGACCAGACATCGTGGCTGCTTGTTATCGGTTTGGCCATTGCCGCCAGCGATATTTAAGTTACCATTTTGAGTCTCTTAGTTGTGTATGCATATCCACGGCCTATCCACGAGAAATTAGGCGTTCACAAACGTGAGTTCGCTAACACTTTGAACTGAAATAGGTACTGGAAGATGTCCGACATGAAGCTAGGGGCAACTTTCGCGTATGACATGGACGGGCAAACACCGATTGAGACTTCTGGGCCAGGATTATCTCAAACGCCTGGATCCGGAAGTGCAAGCCAGAGGACGTCAGGATGAGCCTGGAAATAACCCTTACAGCGAGACACGCCTCGCCCTCGACATCTTCTGGTGGCTCTACTGCTTTATCGCTAGCATTGTGCCTGCCAGTTGGCACTTCAAAGTCCACAAGAAGAAAAGCCTTGGGTGTGGTGGAGGAGACCGAGACCATGGCTGCGGATCGTGAACGTCTTGGTTTGTTCGGGCATCATCTGGACGTTTCTGGCCTTGTTCACCAAATACAGGACGTTTGGAAAGTCCAAAGCTGGCCAGACGTGCCTGGACTCTGTATGGATATTTGGCCAGGTCCTCGCTCTGGGGAATTGGGTGTCGTTGCTGGTGGAGCTTGCAGTCATTTATTTTCGTTCGTCTCGTTTCTTTCTGTAATGTATTATTGTTTAGGAGGTAGTTGACTTAGATCTTCTCAGATGGCACCGAACGTGGACTCAGCAGACGATTATCAAAACGGTATACAGTCGTCTCTGTTGAGAATTACGATGCCCGAAAGGCATCGATGAAGTCATACACTTATCTTAATGACAGTGGATATACGGATCGTCCGCAGGAGCCAATGCCCGACGTTCAACTTAATTGAAGTCGTGGGCATTGTCATATTTCATACTCTGCATAGTCAAGGGGCAGGCATAACTTCGGTGATAAGTTAGTGATTGAACGAGTACGCGAGGTTAATGCGGATGGCAATATATTCTGACCTATTACGTATATTTTATGCTGACGAAATCCAAAGGGCCAATGTTGTAAAACAGCATGATGTATGGGAAGAGTGCCAGAACATGTAGGCGAAGAGCATTGTGATCTAGGCACCGCACGGTATTTTGGTATCTGATTGCTGTTGGTGAAGTTGTTCATATATATTTGGCTCTTGATAGGGAGGCGAGAAAGGGATGATCTATACCTTTGACTTAGTCAGCGACTGTCTACAAAGGGCTAGACAAGACGTGGGAATGAGCTAGAGTTACCAGTAATGTAAATACGTAACTAACTATGTTTATTTTTATTTCAGCGTATGTATCCCCTCTTCCATCTCGACTCTCGGTGAATATTGCAAACAGAAAAAAAAAAGAAAAAAAGAACGTTGAACCGCTAGATCTCTCTCGCGCTGTTCATAAAGCACATCTCTACCTCATTCTACCAACAAAGCAGCAGCGCAGCAGCAATACGATTATACTCGACATATAAATACCCTACATAGTTCCGCCGCCGATATTTCTAGGTTAGAGCTATCAAATTCCATCCTTCTCGGTATAGAGCCACTGGACGGTTGCTGGTGCGTCGTCATCTATCCATGTGTGATTGGGTGTTTATTCTATTCTCTTAGTGACTTGAGCTTTCGTATAGACTAGAACGGTTCATGGATGGTAGATGAGTGTTACTGCTCTGCCGCTGTGCAACTCCTCCTCTGGCGGGCGAATCCACTGTAGGCAAGACCTTGGAGTAGAAGTAGTAGGAGTATTGGAACGGAGGCTTACAATCAATGTGCGCCTAGGTAAATCTAATACATTCTTTCTTCATACGAAATAGCCTGCTTGGCATACTGGCATTGATTCTGTCAGATATTGGGCTATTGCAGCAGCAGTCTTATTGATACTTGGAGACTACCCAACCTCGCGAGTGCTGCGAGTCTTCGTACGAAGATGAAAATATTGTACGTTAGAGGCAGAAGTATGTTATGAGTATAACATGAGATATCCAAGCAGATTCATTACCAGAGACATACACGAAGAGACACAAGAAAGGGAGTTTTGCTTAAACGAAGAGTTGAAAACATACAACCAGATCACCAGGTCACTTTTGTCCGATTGTGCAAAATTAAAACTTACTAGGACATTTTCAGCTCCCGCCTCTTGTAGAAACAAGACCTCGTTGTTGGCCATCGTAGTCTGTCGCCGGCTCGCCCCTTATCATCGCCGTCACGTCTCGGCAAGCCATCTTACTGCTTCTATCCGCACTTGGCCAACACTTATTGCCCAAAAGTCCAAGACGTGATGGCGCAATGCATCTTCTCACGATGCTTGGACAATCCCTTTAAACAACCATTCAGTCCACTCTGGTGAGTCCACCAACCTAAGAAACAATGGTTCAAAAACTCCATTCGCTGCTTTGGAAATGATGACAAAAGCTCATGCATACAATTTGTGATGGCAAAAGCTTCGATCGTAGTCAAGGTCTCCTTGATCCAATCTTCAAGACTAGACTTCGGTCTACTGGGTTTATCTGGCCGTAGGCTAATACTTCGTCTCTGACATAGGATTATTTTGGCTATTAAGGCCTAAATTCGGTGATTTGTATAGAGCTTCAAACAATGAGAACGTATTTGTAAATTAGCTGCGCTGTTTTGGCTTGGGATCTTATTTTGTTCATTGGCCTCTCTCCACTATCCCTTCCCAGTATAGGGATTGAAAATAGGCGAAGGGCGTGATACCAAGGGTTAAAGGGGGCTTAAGCTCAAGGGGTCATTTGCCAAGTCAGTCCAGCGGGAGTGGGCATGATGAACAACAATACGCCCAATTGCGTACCGGTGAAAATGGTCAGATTACTCTAGCCCCTTATTTTACCACCCCACTGTTGCAGTTACGGAACTCCAACAAAGAGTCGATATGACCATCCCATACGCAGTATTCACATCACTAAGCATCCTTAAATAACATGTCTTAAATAGAAAAATGCTTAGGTATTCGCAAGCTATTGTCATATGTAACGTCGTCAGAGTTCGCCTACTCTCGAATAAAGAGAACCAAAAACTCCGAAACTATGCAAATGCACTGACGTAGAGCTAACCCCAGTTTGACGAGCAGAGTTGAGAAGAGAAGAAGAAGAAGAAGCACAACAGCTCAAGAAAATTCCTGATTTCCTTTTCCTCATTCCTTCGTGATCTCATGCAGGTGCAATTTCGCTTTGTCTTCCCTTCCAGTCATCTCTCATGGAAGCAACTTGGGCTGTGTGTGTTCTGTGTTCCCATCGTATAGCCTATTGCCTAAAAGATCACCTCAAATCTCTTCATCATCCTCTTCGATAGGAGCTGGCGTCATTCGTTCCTTCCGCCTCTTTGGCCTGCGATGGCGAGAACTACTAATGTTGCTCGCGCTATCGTCGGGCGCTAACTCAACATCATCGCCTCCCCAATCACTCTCACTCGTCTCGTCGTCTCCACTGGCCGCCCAATATGGCCTTTCGTACCCGTTGCCCAAGGAGTTACCGCTGTTCTGAGGCAAGACGTCGATATTATGGCCTGATCGGCGCGCCTGCATGCTCATCATGAGCCCCGCGTTGCGCTGCCGCAGCGCGTTGCGCACCATCTCTGCGCGATGATGTAGCTTTTCAAAAGCGTCTTCCAGGGCTTCCATCCCTTGGTATATCTCGCGTTCTACTTCAGCCAGTGCTGCCATTTCAATTTCTTCGTCGAGCGAGACGGCTTGCTTGTTGTGAGCCCCGGGAGCACCGGGTACCACAGACGAGGAGAGGGAGACGAATGACGCCGGAGTGGTCCCACGACTGTACACATCACTGAAAGGCGTCGTGGTGCGCGACGTACCAAAACCAGAGGTCGGTCGATATCCCATCCCAGAAACGGAAGGACCCCGTGAGGGAGGAGGCGAGAAGAACCCATTGGCTGGTGTGGTACCACGTGCGGGCGAGAAAAAGCCGCCATTAGCAGGTGTAGGTCCACGCGAAAGGGGGTTCTCGGCAGTTGGCGTGATGCCTTCGTCGCCGTCGGCACCAGACCAGAGGAAGCCGTCGAAACGACCTGATGTGAGAATCTCCCATTCTTGAAGGCTAATGTCGCTGATGGTGACCAGAAGATCGTGGTGGAACGGGTTCTTAATGAGGTACATTGCGGTTTCAGCATCACGAGGAACGATGGGCAGGCGGTACAGTCGCTGCAAAGCAAGACCCATTTTCACAATGAAGTCTACTCGGGGTTTGCGCACGTTTGGCGTTGGGGCTCTTACAGTCGCCTGTAACTCTCGAGCACCTGACAGAAGAGCATTGAAGTAAGGGCGCTCTTCATTGTCCAGGTTAGTGAGAATAGCAAATGTTAGGGTCTCATCGTCAACTTCCTGTGGTGGCGGCGCTGGAGCATCGGAGCAAACGTTCAACCACTTATCCACAGCGGACCTGACCTTTTTTGACTGGCGAAGGTAGTGCTCTCTGAACTCTTCGGCGATGTCAGGGTCTAGCTTGACCGGCGAAGAGGGACGAGGTGGCAGGTCTGTGGCTCCTTCGTGCCCCTTGACGCCCAGGTTGGCGAGGTCGAACGGCGGCCATGGTGGCAGATCTATGCGCCCTCCAACTCTCTCCAGCACTTCACCCCAACCCAGACCTCGGTGTTCCCCTGGTGTACTCTCACACATGATGCAGTTGCATCCTTCTTCTGGTAAATCTCTGGAGAATACGTCTTCTAGTCGGTCTAGCAGCCTTCTTGCTACTGACTTGTGACCGGTTGCGACGGCAACTGAACCCTGCTTGTGGATCACGTTTTGGTACTGATCCAGGAGGTTGAAGAAAGGGGCAAAAAGTCGTTCTGCGCCAGCTAGAGGGGGGTTGGATGGCTTATTGCCATTGAACGGTGGTATGACGGCAAGGAAATTTTTCGATACCGGATGTTGAAGACCTCCATTCTGGAGAAGGTAATCCACTCGAGGTATTTCTTGTATGCTCAACGTCGGCGGCGGAGGAGGTGGTGGAGGAGGGGGTCCAAAGTCGGTCATAGGGGTGGCTGCAGGCGTGGGACGATCATTGTCGTCGTATCTGATATGTGGTGCAGAAAATCGCTTCTCTTCGGGGAAGACATGTGGAGGGGGAAACTGTGGCGTCACAGTAGGTGTCTTGGGCGACGAGTCTTGCACGGATTCAGGAGAGTCGTCAATATCAATCGGCGAGGGGGTTCTTCCTTTCTTCCCTGAAGCGGACCGCCTGGGTAGAACCGAGGTAGCTGCAGAGCGAGCACCCGCTGTCTTGCTGGCGTCGCTCAGAATAGAGTCGTCGTCTTCGACGATCTGTACTCCCGCCGGCATCTTGAAGGCTGTGGCCTTGACGAAGGTGGCCTGGCTTGATGCTTTGGATTTCGTAGACAGCTTAGACTTGTCATCGTTCCGCGAGTCCGACCGTGAGATGCCACTAGCTCTCGACCTCGGCCTGCTGTCTGGTGCCGGGCTTTCTCTATCTCGATTGTGTGATGTGGATGTACGACTTCGTCGTCTCTCAGCGGAAAGGTCAGTCTCGGGTGGACTGGGCGGTCGTCTCACAGGTGGACTGGGCGGCCGTTCATCATTCTGATTGCTCGCCCCCCTGCTTTCAACGCCACTCCCATCGCCGCGATTATCCGAGGATCTGGAAGGGTGTTTGTCGGCCCTCGAGCTCAGATCGGTTGTCTCAGGGGTCCAGGGGTCGGCTCTCTGCGCTGCAGACGTTGACGAGATGTCTTCCCGGCTTATGGTGACGCTTTCCTTGCTATGCGCCTTGCTGAAGCTTGGGTACGGCAGACTAACTCTGCTACTGGTAGTTCTACTCAATTCAGGCACCAGATCGCTCATGGAAGAAGTTTTCTTCTCCCGTGCCTGCTCCCTCTCCCGTTCTCTTTCCCGATGCCTCTGCTCCTTCTCCTCCTTCGTTCGGTGACGGCGTCGTGATGTGGACGAGTGCGAGTCAGCATCGCCATCGACTGGCTTGGAACGAGTCGACTTGGACTTGTGTGGCCGAAGTCCATCTCTTTCTCTCTCTCGGTCTCGATCTCGTTCTCTGTCGTGATCTCTGTCGTGATCTCTGTCGCCCTTGACTCGCTCGCTCTTGCTGCGAGGTCGTCGCTCGCGCGGTCGCACCTCATCGCTGGCGCTGGCAACAACGCTGCTTGTGATGTCGACATCGCGCTCCTTGTCCTTTGGCAAGCCCATGATTCAGCAGGCAGTTGAGCCGACGTTGATTGCTCCCGAAAGGGCGGAACCATGTGAGCCCAACGGGACCCGACCGCTACTTAGGCTTCGGCAGGGGGCTGGTTGCGAAAGCTTGCAAAGAAGATGGTGAATTCAGCCTCTCTCTGGGGAGGAAGACGCTTGAAGGAAGTTGCTACTTGGTGTTCGTTGTCGTCGTTTTGGGCAGATGTTGAATGTTGAAAGAAACGCACCATGGGTGCTGGAACGAGCACACCACCTTTCAGGCTACACCACATTTCTCTCGGCGGCTGCTGGGTGTTGACGGGCAACGCTTTCAATTGTGATTCGATTGAGCTCGGACTGCATCACAAGTGGTACCCAAGTACTTTTGCTGCAGGGCTTGGCGTGGGCTGGCTTCGTGTGAAGGCGGGGTAAATTTCATGTGGATTCCGCACTGTGACGGGGAATTTGGATTTGATTTATTTGTCTGACGGGATGAAAACTCAAGAACCTTGTAAAGTGCATTTTCATTTACGGGCAAGACAGTCCATACTGTATCTTGGTGACATCAGTGTATCCGTTGATTAAAAGCCATGGTTGGGTCCTCTCCAAGCTGTTGACTTTTGGCCCAGCTCACTGTTTGACGCTTTGCATTGAACGAACAAGGACAGATGATTTCATCCTTCGAACCCATCAAGTATCCAACCTCCTCCTGAAGGCCAAACTTTCTAACAGGATTAGCGTCATCCTATTGAACTACCACGAGAGTCAGCCATACATGTGATTCAGCTCGTACTATAATCATGTTATCCATGTGTGTGTCTCACTCTAGCACAGTCCGAGCAACACTGTCAGATCTCTCGCAACTTCACTAACCTAGAGCCTTGTTGAATACCGGACCAACTGCAGCGCTCGCGGGGGCCGTTCAATACGTATTTCCTAGAATAGCAAAGTCGTTCGGTACATCCAAGCCACATGTCAATTGCACTGGATACCCGAGTCGTGATACTTATAACGAGGTTTCTTGTTTTCCCTCGTTGGAATGTTAGCCGCGCTGAAAGGTTGCAGTTGGTTCTTTGGGCGTTACGGAGTACGGGATCCCCCAACACGCTTTTGGGAATTGATCGGGAATGCCTACATTACACCCCCCTAGCTGTGTGTTCTAGACCGGACCCGAGCAGCTTTGTACAAGTTTCAGAGGTGGCTATCGTGTAATCTCATCTTCCAGTAAGAGTTGTTATTCGCTTTCTGCTGTTGGCCCGCCTCTTAAAACTATTCCCGACGGCCCGGCACAGCGATTTTCCAACCCGATTTGCTCTGGACGATGCACCCGAGACGCAGTACTCAAAAGTGTCCATTGGACGTGAGGTAAGTGTTTGTGTTGTCTTATATTGCATTGGTCGGTATATCGAGTATCACCGTTCTACCTGGCGAGTTTTAGATCTTCCAAGACCCGCTTTTCTTTCACATGGTCTATGTATAAAATTCGTATTCCTTTTTTTTAAAAAAAAAAATATCCAGCTCATAGGCGGTCCAGGAGACCCTTGCTCTCGAGCAACAGCACGATCTGGTGGACGATCGATCGCACATTCTGCTTCTCGAAGTCAACCACTAAGTCGGCTTTGGCGGGAGCCTCATATGGGTCGTCGACACCCGTGAAACCCTTGATCTCACCAGCACGGGCCGCCTTGTAGATGCCCTTCTTGTCAGTCTTCTCGGCGTACTCGAGCGGGGTGGCGACATGGATGAGGTAGAAGTCACCGTACTTCTCAACGAGTTCTCTGGCACTCTTTCGGTCGGCCTCGTACGGTGCAATAGGGGCGGCAATCACTGCGGCACCTGAGCGAGTCAATTCGCTGGCAACGAACGCGATGCGGCCAATGTTCTTGCTTCGGTCTTCCCGGCTGAAGCCAAGCTCGGAAGAAAGCTCGTGGCGGACGGTCTCGCCCAGGAGCATGGACACAGATCGCCCACCCTGTTGGTTCAGTGTCACCTGAAGAGCGCGAGCGATCTGGTCCTTACCACTGTTCTGGTATCCCGTGAGGAAAACGGTGAAGCCCTGTTGCGATCGTGCGGGGTGGGATTCCCGGAGAACTTTGACGACCTCCGGGTATGAGAACCACTCGGGGATATCACGGCCGCTGCGGAGTCTTGAACGGAGTTCTGTGCCAGAGATGTTGAGGGTGCGCACGCCCTTCTCAATCTCGTCAACGGGCGCATACTCGTCACTGTCCGGAAGGTAGGTCATCATCTGGAAAGGTACGACCTCGATGCCAAGCTCGTTGCGATACTTCTCAACGGCGTATTGGGCATCGTACGGTCCGTAGAAATCAACACCCTTGCTGTTCTTGCCAGGACCGGCGTGGTCACGACCGACAATGAAGTGCGTGGCTCCGTGATTCTTCCGGATAATGGCGTGCCAAATGGCCTCACGGGGCCCACCCATTCTCATGGCTAATGGCAAAAGACCCAACACTGCCATGCCGTTGGGGTATCTTGGCAGAAGCGCCTTGTACACACGCACGCGGGTGAAGTGGTCGATGTCGCCAGGCTTGGTCAGGCCCACCACGGGGTGAATCAACACGTTTGCGTGGTGCGAGCGGGCAGCGCGAACAGTCAGTTCTCGATGGGCCCGGTGCATAGGGTTTCGTGTTTGGAAAGCGACAACTCGGGACCAGCCGAGCTTGTCGAAGTGCAACCGGAGTTCGGCTGGGGTATCTGTATTGAACGTGAGGTTAGTCGGCGCATCTGGTGCAACAAGGTTATCTCTCGTTCTCTTGCTTACATCGGAGATCAACAAAGTCATAGTGCTGCAGGCGGTTTATGGCCTCAACTTTGCCTCCAACATAGAACTCGCGGGCGGTATTGTAGAGGTAGCTGACGGCCGGGTGCTCCTCGTCGCCTCCAAAGACCTCCTTGGCCTCGACTGTCCTGCGAACCCGTGATTAGCGGCTTCGTTGGCGCTCAGCTTGGGGTGGGATAGTACTCACTTGTCCGGCTTGTAAACATCCTCAATGGTGAGGATGGCCAAGTTTCGGTCGTCGCGGAGGTCACGCAGTGTCACCCGCGCTCCCGCCTTGAGACCGACCGCGTTTATAGTCTCTTGCGAAACATCTAGTGTAATTGGCATGCTGAACAGCACGCCGCTGGCCAGTCTGTTTTCCTTTACGACGCTGAGGGTCCCCTAGTTAGCGTCTGTCTTGATCAACCGGGTTTCGGGTTGTTTACATACCCATTGTAATCGGCCTCGGTCATGAAACCTGCAAAACGGATTCATGTCAGCATGTGCATCTTGCCATCATTATTTGTTCGCTGCGGTCGCCAAAACGAGTTCGTCGCATTCTTGACCCGCTGGGGCGCAATTTGATGACGATGGCGGGGTTGTCTGCATCGCCCCACCATGAAAAGACAAGTTGCGACTATCGGAATTGCTGTAATTCACCTTCGAGGGGCGAGAAACCACCGTTGAGAATCAATTCGAGATCACACAGCTGTCTCTCGGTGAGCGTAATAGCGGGAAGCGTCTCAGCTTCAGCAGAGAGCTCATCATGTCTGGGTGCGTCGCGCGCAATGAGATCCTTGAGGATGCCGCCATGGGGAGGGTTCGCCATTTTTTGGATAGTTGTGCCGGAAGTGCACGAGGGAATAACAAGCACAGAAACGTCTGCAGGATTTGCGAGACTAGTCGAGCAACGCGAGACACGGCAGGAGAATAAAAAAATGAGAGCAGAGATATCGAGTTAGCAATCGGAAAGATGATGGCTTCTTCTACAGTCCTTTTAAACACCCCGGCATGGAATTCACCCTGTCCCGTCCTACATGTACGTAACCTGTGCCAGGGTCCATAATCGGACCTCTCTGGGAACGGCCCACTCACTACTGAGCTTTTAAAACTTCCACCAGAGAGCAAATCAAGTAAAGTCCCGATGGCGTGCTTTCTTGTCCTTCTGTCCAGTTGCTTGAATTTCTTATTCTGACAAATGCATATTACGGTGCAGCTCCGAGGACTTGTAAGGCAATAGAATGGTTATACCCAAAAGTTGATACTGGCCTGGCTGAAGACTGACGCCAAATCGGTCCCAGCTAAAGGCTCTGGTTGCACCTATTTTCCAGCGTCGTTGGCAGATCGGTCAAAACGCAATGCAGATCCTTAGCATCCGAGATTATCACATCGGTCGCATCGGCTTCCAGGGACGAGTCAGCTTGAATCCCCACTTCCCGCACTTTGCATCGGGCCATCATCTCAGAGTTGAGAGTTGGACGACGGCAGGATTAAGGGTATGCCCGGGTTTAAACTTTTTAATATGGACCGCTGGAGTCTTGACTCTTGGAGGACTTACAGCTTTCCAGATAAACTAAAACAACTTACATGAGGCGTGAACAGTGAGCCCCAAGTAATACAGTTCTTTAGGATGCCCTAAGCCGACAGGTTTACTGCAACTGATCAACAGCCTTGTCAAGGTTGCACAACCGCAAGTCATCTGAGCAACGGCTTAAAACAACCCAAACAACACCAGTAGCCTCCCGTTGCTACATGTATCTGTTACTGACATCCTCGTTCAGAGGCATAGGAGAAAAGTGCACAGCCTTGGTTTGACGTCGTTGGCTGACGAAAAACATGACGACGCAGTTATTTCGATTATCGTTTCTCAAATGTGGGGATCTTGCTCTCCTACTTCCATGTTGCCAAGGGTTATGCCAACAATTGCAACACGTCTAACCTAGTGGATATCATAAACGTACTATGGTAATGACTCCTTACTGTTGTTCAACCCTCACCCGAAATAGGAATCGACGTGGGACTGTTTGATCGTCCCATTTCTGACGAATAAGCTTTGTATACTACGGCAGCCCAGCGGAGTGGAATGATCCGACATGAGGATTTTCTTCCATTAATTCTCTGATCGGAGTCGGTATGCTTTTCAACTCGAAACTTGGAGGAACTATGACTTTCCGCCGAGACGATCTTCCATCAACACGGTTGACAGGTGACATAGTCTCATGAGCTAAGAACATTTTAGTGCCCTTCCCAGCTCAGAGCAGGCAACAAAAAAAAGGCGCGGCACGAAGTAGTCCATTTGCCAAGTCAACGGCGGCAGAACGTCATTCTCAGCCAACATGAGTACAACAATCCGCTTATGAAGCAATTGTGGCTACTGTGTTTGTAAGCCGAAAACGCTAATGATGAGCCTTGCCGAGGTCTACCAACTATGGCCAGACTCTTTTGAGAGCTTATGCTGAGTATCATCCTATGATCTTGCTATTATAGGCCCCCCGTGCTGTAGACAACATGAACTCAACAGTAGCGTCGCAGTAGCCACTGGCAAAACTGCTTTCCATGGAAAATTATCAGTCCCATATACATATACACCTTAACTCCAACGATTCCCTAGCCTCTTCACCCTCCGTTCCAAGCAAATCCACACTCGAATGCAACGTACCGCCGGCCGTCTTCCCACCCTCCCTCTCAGCATGACTGTCAAACAGCCCTATCACTAACACCTCCTCAGGCCTCTGCTCATCGATCCAGAACCACTTATGCCCCTTGGAGTACCTCGCTACATATGCCTCCACGGCACGAGTCTCCATTACACCAGGCTGCCCCAAACACGGCGTCTTTACCTTGACGGGCACGTAATCCGCAGCCCCGAACGTGTGCCGATCTCCCAGCGCAAGCGGGTCTCTCCGTACCGTCTTCAGCGGCCTCCAGATCGAGAAGAGAGCCCAGCGCGGTCCAGAGCTCTCCCTATAATACTCAGGCAAGCTCTTTCCGCCGGCAAGTAACGCATCTTCGGCATGAATTATTTCCGCTGTTGCAGCCCGCAGTCTAGGGTGATAATCACGGATATGCATGCGTGCGCCGGCGGGCGAGTAATCCAAGTGAATCTTCGGAGTCGGACTGGCGCCTCCCTGGGCGGGATTAAAGCCAATGAACTGCGGAAATCCTGTCTCGAGATCAGACAGTTCCCTTTCCTTGGCTTCTTGATCTGCCCACCTGTTGGCCTGCTCCCGGTGGCCGCCGTGGGTAGCTAGAGCATCGCTCTCGGTCCACAAGGCTGATCTCAGCAACAATGTCTCGGCGATGATCATCTTGCATCCCGTGATCTGCTTCAGCATCTTCGTTTTCTCGGCTATATAAATAATATTAAATACGCCGTAGGTGTTAACCCTCGGTACCTCTACAAGTACTCCCTTAAGGGGCTATAGATGATATAGCGGGCCCTTAAGCCGCGTCGGGCGGTTATACAGGTAAACTTGTAGCCAAATGACTACTAAACCTCCTGTCCCTCCCTAAGTCTGTGCTACAACCCCTGCCTGAACTACCGATAAGTGTGGTAATGTGGCACTTAAATTCGTCCTCAGGGGTGGGATGCTGCTGATGTGCAGAAGATGCTCGACTATTTTTTTGTCGCGACAAGTCGTAGTATCTGCTAATTGGGGTTCTCGTCGAGCGTATACATCTCAACCATACGCTCAAGTGGATAGACCGTAACGTGGTCAGACGCTCGCAAGAATCGCGGCGAGAGGGCGTGCTGCGCGCCTTCTATCGTGAGGGGACGGGTTCGCCGACGAGCGTTATCGGAAAGGCGAGGTCCGATAAGGGGTCGGATTAACGATTCGAATTCTGGACCGGCTGTCGAGTTATATTCCGCCGACGTAGTGCTTGACGGTCGACTGGCTAGGATGCTCGTAATCCTAAACTGCACCAATCTCCCTATTATCGCTAGGTAGGCGAAGTCAACAAGGTGGGCAGCGCGCCGTAAGGGTTGACTAAACCCCCTTGTGTGTCAGCTGCGGGATTCGAACCCGCGACTCGTCACCGACCCAAGTGGGCGAGGCTCAAATCGGGACTTATCTACCAGCGAAGTGACCAACTACACCAGCCGACTCGGCTATATAATGCTCCCTTAAAAACCGGTGGTCCTTCCAGGATGCACGGTTGTAAGGAGGCGAGTGTAGCGTCGTTGGATGATGAACGGCCATGAAACCGTGAGTTGACAACTGAGCATGATTTGTGACCGTAGAAAGTTCCGACACCGTGGGAACGGGCCGCATGCTGTGGAGCGGGAGAAGACGATCATCGCTGAACTCGGACATCGCGGGGAGGTGGAAGTTGTGCGGGCTGACTTCCGGGACGTGGCCGGCGGCGACGTAGCGGAGCTTGCCTCGGATGACCGGCTCCATGTGGTGGTATTTGAAGACATTGTGGCACTTAGGCTGTAAGGGTGACTGATGACGATTTTTTAGCAATGATGGGAAGATGCACCTTAAGTCTTGCATCAAAGTATCTCGGGTCGAGTTTGTGAGTCCGCTGCGCCTGTGGATAGCCGACGGCCCCGCTGGTTGAATAGGGAACTCCAAATCAGATAAGCTCTTCTTATGCCTTCGATGGTCTGAGCCGCAACATTCCGTACACGGTAAATACAGCTAGGCGGCGCGCATTTTCATCTGCATTGCAACTTACTTCCAAGTTCAATACTAACTTAGGGGGTCGGGTGAGTTACACAATAACACACCACATATTCCCCTCCCAAGGCAAGAACGCCCAGGAAGGCTGACAAGCTGACTTAATGATACTCCCCGTACTGATAACTAATCCGCTTTTGGTTGATAGGTCTGGGCACTAAGGCATATTCGTCAAATCTCTTCACACATATCATTTGATTATGATTGGGACCGCATCCGCCCAGTGGCTGCCCCTGAATAACATCACATTGTAAGCCTCTCTCAAAGGGTTGATGATTGATCAGAGAAAATCACATGGAATATACGTGGTGTGGAGTAGAAAATGGGAATACGACAGAACACTCTACGTGCCGCGGATAGAAAGGAGTGAATTGGGAAAGGGGGGGAAAGCCGGTCATCCGCTCATTGCAATATGTAGAATTAAAAAGTCTTCAATGAAGTTTGGACATATATAACCACTTCGCTGTGCATTGAATGTTACCCACACAGGGGCATATACCATCAACGAAATCGAGACGAATCTACGCCTGAAATGTCGTGATTGGTAAGAAAGCATTGAACCACTGACTACCGCAAGAACAATCACGAGCCTTGGACTTGTAGGTTCAATTAGTTGATATCGGGATGCCTGTGACCGTTTCTCTCGTTTTGTTCTGCCGTCGTTTTCAAGATTTAGTTAGAAACCCAGACAGATCCCGGTAAATTGGCACAGATCATGATAATCAGGTAAGTATCACCGACCATAATATATGCTAGAGTAAAGGTAGGCGTGAAGCAGATGGTATATTCTTTCGATTGGGCTAAAGCGTATAAATCGGAATTATCGCCTAAAAAGCCATGGGCATGTCAATGATATCAAATACTGATGTTGGCAATACTTTGAAGGGAACAGGGTCTACAAAACTATTTCATCTAAGTAAGGTTGCTCAAATATGTGAAAACGCCGGATGGCTGGCTGGTCGTACAAGAGCTCAAGACGATGAGAGAAATGGCTCGGCACGAGCGGCACGAGGAATTTACCAATTCTTTTTTCCTTGTTCACTAAGATAGCATGCTGCAGGACGTAGTTGAGCCCTGAAGGGTTGACTTTCCGTCTTAGCCAACTAGTAACTAGTCAATGCTCGTAGTTACACTTTCGTGACTTACGGGGCTTAGCTAAGTGTCAGAAGACCAGCACCTTGCCTTCATACTATGACAGTGTGATCTGTAAGGGCCAACGAGAGATTAAGCTGTGCGTAGCGTTGAGCAGACCCTTCTATCCCTTTTTAGTCTCTAGATCCTGATCTATGGAAAAGCTGCGCAAGAGGCCGGGCTTCGACCATGTCTCGCTCCTCAGTCTAAACAAAGCCTCGTGTTAGGTGCACACGTATCATGAACCACTGGGTCAGCAGGTTCAGTATAACGTTTGCCCTTGCAGCTGCCTCTAACATCAAGATTAAACCCCACGGTATGACGTGCCTACTGCGTATCAACTTTCCGAGTATGAATGCCTAGTTTGATTCGCTGATTGAAATATCATATTACAAAATTCTAAATCCGATGTTGGGTTTCCTGGTCTGCAAACTGCAGCGTTTCACATTGACCCTTCCCATGTACCCTTTATTAAGCGGGAGCTAAGACGTGCAAAGTTATGGAGGCATCAACGCCCTCGAGGTATTTTGAGACTCTTGCCGAGCAAAACGCAAGAGATATCAACAGGTGCCTTAACCCGGCAAATCTGCCCGTTTCCTCGTGGGAAGTATCTGCGAAGGCATCTGCAAAATGCTGCAGTTGACCACAAAAGAATTGGGCTGCAGGACTGCCCTTTGGTTAGCATTGAGCGCAAGCAAGGCGCTCCTGGAGAATCTGCGGGAGGCTTGTGTCTTGGCGCAGATTCGAGAATGAGACAGTCGCGTCATGCAAGTAGTGCCCCAAAAAGGACTCCAGAAAGCTTTGAATCATTCCTACTGATGCTGCAACCTCATAGGTAAGATTCGAAAGCATAAGCTCTGAAATAGTTTCGGTCTGTAGCCTAATGCGTACAAAAAGACATAGCTTTCCATCTTCATACATTGACACCGGGGGGTAGCCATTTGGGAGTCACCGCTTGACTGACTTGAAGCTCCTTGTGGGGAATGCGGTAGATGCGTTGTCACTATCAAGTTTTCGGTTGATCGGCCGGGAGATCATACGTGGAATCTTGACAGTTTGCGGCCCCAAACTGCCGCACCATGGCTTTCTGGAGATGGACGTCCGAGCGCAGCGAGTTGGTCGAAGTGCAGTAAAAATCATCAAGAGAAAGGGCGCTGTATGATAGAAATGCTGGTTGCCACGTTTGGTAGTCATGATCGCCATCACACCGTACTTATCAGCAATTTAGGCTCGGGGTATCAGGGGGTGTGTATACCGGCCTCACTCCCGAGATAATCAATGCAAATTGTCCGTACATGTAGCACGCCTTGGGTGCAAAAGGTTTGTGCTTTCCGCAGTTGCCGAACATTGAAGGTGCGACGCGACACTCCCGCAACCCAGACTTTTAAAGTTGTCCGCCATTTTCATGCAATTGGATACCGACATTCGGAATTTATTATAGTGTTATGGGGCAAGTCTGTCGCCTCTCGACCTCTCAAACTGCGTGGCAGCTCGATCTTATAAAGTACACTGAACGATACTTGAGGGATCCACCTGCGATACCACCAACCTGGGCGAAGCGCCGTGAAACCTGGCCATACGGACCTTGTTTGGACTCGAACTTTTAGGGTAGTCGCGATGTCGCTCAAGACCGACTGTTTTTAGGTGCCGATCAGCGAAAGAAGAGTACCGAATCCTCTATCTTCTATATTCTTCCACGAATATGTTGTCACTGGGTCACGTTCGAATTTTTATGTACTTCGCAGGACTAATCTTTCCGTACCTGGCCCCCCGGGTGAGTCGGCCAATAAACGCCCTTGTGCTACCACTTCGACGTCGAGATCTCGACATCGGTCGTGGCCAAGCACTATAATCCCTGCACGAGGTTGGGATGCGCTCGCCGCTTTCAACCAGTGTTGCAACAACTCATCTGCTCCATCCGGGCCATCCCTGACCTTTCGCCGTTCGCGACTTGAAGTTAAGTCGGCCATTGCGACCCGCCGAAGCTATATTTACTACACCGTACATCTACTTTGCTCGTCACCTCATTTTCTGACGGTCTGTTCATGACATTGAAGATATTCACTCGCTGGACCCCAGGTTGCGCAGTCAGTCGCCTTCAAGTACAAGCCTAAAACATATGCACGATTACCTCTCTCTTCTCTCGTTGTGTCTCACCACCGACCACGCTAGCAACTGCATCCCCTTCTATTCTTGTGCACGCAAATACGTCAAGCACTCTGTCCGCAGCATCCATCAGTAGCCAAGACTATCGAACGCCATCTCGAATCCCTCTCGACGATTGATTGCGACTGCCCCCACACACGGGCTACCTGATCTAATAGAGTTCAAGCTCCCGCTGGAGCACCAACGCGGTCACCATACAAGCACTACCCTGCCCGCCGGGCCGACGCCGTCAATAATTAGCCCCCTGCCCGACGACCAGAGTACTGGGCTAGAAACATAATGACCATGTCCATACTGTTCGCAGGTCCAGATTCGTCGTAGATCCACAACGTCATTGTCATTTGGGTTGTCGGTCTGGTAGATAAGAGCACCCATGTCCAGTCGACTTTTCAGCAACTTGGGATTCTTCGAGGATTTCTGCACCGCACCCTGGGAGGTGGCGTGAGCGGCGGCGACGACTACTTTGGGGACCACCAGATTGCTACCTGAAGGCAACTTAGCCGCAATCATGGCGTCTCTTCGGCGGTTGAGCGCACTGCTTGCCGCGCTCGGGACTTTCAGTCAGATACCAACAACGTATGCGGCCGACACAGTTTACATTTCTGGTACCGGACTGGACGGCGTTACCAGACAACTAGCGGTTGATCGGGCGCCAGCATTATACACGGGAGACTTTGGCGACTGTTTGGGTGGAGAGTCCTTAATGAATATCACCAAGTTCGATGCCGGCTTTTATTATGACAATTCTACCGTTCTCTTTCATTTGGAGGGCGCCACAAACCTCCAGAACGATTCATTAATGCGTAAGTAGCTCTGAACTACGAATCAATTTACCTCTGAACCGGAACTAAGCCGAATGGCAGTGTACATATCAGTGGAAGCATATGGCCAAAACAGATTTAGCATGACTGTTGACCCCTGCTTCATGAATGTTGACAGGTATGTCCACCTATACACCTCCCATTATCCGGCTAGATCCTCATGTTTTCTTCTAGCCTGTGTCCGTTGAACGCTAGCATCCCCATTACGGCATATGCTCTCTTCCATATCGGAGAGCAACAAGTCTCTGGCATTCCTCAAATTGCCTTTGAGATACCCGATTTCGAAGGCTTCGCCAGAATCCAGATATTCTCAAACGCGAGCCAAACAGAAATCGGGTGCTTCCAAGCCGTCATGAGAAACGGCAACACCTTCTCACAACCAGCAGCAATTGGCCCGGTGTTGGGTGTCTTCACCATAGCCGCCATCGTAGCATCCTTCGCGACCGCAGCCTATGGGGTATCCATCCCGCACATGAGGACGCATTACGCCCACTCGCTGTCTGTCCTCGCCATATTCGAGACATATCAGTCCATATTTTTCTCTGGCGCACTTTCAGTCAACTGGCCCAGTGTGTTACCGGCCTGGTGGTCCAATTTTGCCTGGTCAGCTGGCTTAATTCCTGCGTTAAGCATAGTACATTCGGTCGACTCTTTCGCCGGTGTCAGCGGCAATGCCAGTCAAGTAGGCGGCGCTGGCTCGACAATCATCAACAACCAAGGGGGTCTACTGCAGCAGATCTACGGACGATCGTTGTCTACTGACGTGCCCGACATATACGGGCGCTCTGTGGCTACTGATATGCCCAACAGTGAAACGAAGGGGGCTCTTGATTTGGCGAGGAGGAGCGTAATCTTGGCTAAACGACAACCGTACAATGCGAATAATCCTTACGACTACAACTGGAATGGCGATCCAGTGACGCCAGGGATGCCGATACCAGGCGACTGGAGCGGCTTTGCAGGAGACCTATCGGAGCTCGGCATCCCGGCACCGGATGCCTTCACCATCGCACTGATATGGCTATTGATTGTATTGGCTCTGGTCGCTTTCCTCGTTGTGTCCTTCAAGTTTGTGCTCGAGGGACTCGTCAAGTTGAAGTGGATCAATCAGGACCGACTTCAGTTCTTTCGATCTCACTGGAGGGGCTACACCTGTATGGTCCTACTGAGGACACTCTTCATCGCCTTCTTTTCCATGATGGTCTTGGCCATGTTCCAGATCTCCCACCATGGACGAGCTGGCCCCACTGCGTTAGCCGCCATCATCTTCGTTTTCTTCATGCTTGGCGTTGGAGGTCTAGCCATATACGCTCTGAACTTCCGACTACGGTTTGGAAAGTTCGCTTCCGAGCCCGATCGCATTCTCGTGCAGCGCAAGACGGTCTGGAAATTCCTCCCGTGGCTGGTCCCAGTTCGACATAGCCAATTGAAAGAGAAGGAATCCGTACAGAAGCCCATCTTCTCACTGCCTTTCGTCCATTGGCACTTCATGGACAATGACAAGGACCGGACCAAGGTCCATCAAGATGAGCCTTACTTAAAGCGCTTCGGCTGGCTCTCAGCCCGCTACCGACTGTCGAGATGGTGGTATTTCATCGTCTGGCTGGGATACCAGCTGATTCGTGCTTGCTTTATTGGTGGTGCCACGAGCAGCCCACTCGCACAGATATACGGCCTTTTCGTTGTCGACGTATTGTCACTCATCATAATAGCAGCCTTTAGACCATACGAAGGCCAACGCAACACCGCCCTGGCTGTTTGGCTGTTGGGTCTCACCAAGATCGCGACTACAGGGCTCTCCATTGCCTTCCTACCTCGCTTCGGCATTGATCGGATCCTCGCTACCGTCATTGGTGTTGTCATCATCGTCATGCAGGCCCTATTGACAATCGCCGTCTTGATTTTGATCATCCTTGGTAGCATAAGTTCGTGGATGTCACTGACGCGCAATCGCGAATACTTCCCCTCTCAGAGGCTGGAGGGTGTTCGCATCAAGTATTTTGAGCATTTAGAACGTAGGGCTTTGGACAAAGAAGCACCGAAGAAGGAGAAGCCGACAGCAAAACTCAACCCACCCGAACCAGAAGATAAGCTGCCGGACCTGCCCAAGGAACCCTATTTCAGTGTCAACTCGGTTCGCCGAATTTCCAAGATTGAGGACGAGGACGATGATTTCATCGCAGAGATGGAACCAGTCAACGCAAGTGGTCCATCAACGACGCCGCACCCGCTGAACCGAACACGACGCGTTGATAGTGTCAGTTCGCGGCATTCAGTCAGCAGCCTGCCCCGCGGTGCGCGCGTACACCGGGTATCGTGGAGTTCGAGGGACTTCAACTCGTGGCAGACAACAGAGTTGGACCGTCCGGGTACCACGCTCGCAAAGCGTTTGAGCGGTCACGCACCGAGCCTGTCGGAAACTAACATTACCGGTGTGCTAAAGAACCAGGCGTCAGAAAGCAGTTTTCGGGCTTACGGTACGGTGGTTGCAGGCAGCCGTCCCATGTCCCCCACCCTTGAGCAAGAAGAAAGGGTCATCAACAAGGAGATCTCCTCCTAGGGAACGGAGGACTCCGAGGACAGCAAGTTGGCGCTTATCACGAAATAACGAAGATATGAAATTCTGCGCATTGAGCACAGTGCAGACTCTATTACTACTACTATATTAATACCTTAGAACCACTCTTGGACACTTTGCTCGCGCAGGCCTTGCAGCACTCATTATCTTGCAACTATCAGCAACGGGGCATTTACAACACGCATCCACAAACTTGGGTGGTGGTCGCGGCGTTTTTGGATACCCATTGCAGCGAAAAAGGCCGTGGTTTCACATCATTAAATCTTTTTTTCCCCGGAGCCTGTACAGAATAAGACTAAATTAATCGTTCGCTGGAGAATTATGGTACATATGGATGTGGTTGCTTCCAGGCAATCGACTTGTTTCTGGAGTGGCGAGGAGTAGTCGTAACTAATCAAACCCTCAAGCTGAATTAACTCACATCGTATTTACTTCCATCGTATGTCGGACTCGGTGCATGAACTCAGTGCATATACAATATTGGCTCACTTTAACATGCAAAGTAACAACAACTGGGAGTGAGCGAGCCTCTCATTACCGGATTACATAAGTGTAGCTTGTGTCCATTGCCTTCAAAAACTGCTAAGAGCTCGCAAGATGGCAATGGGAAGCAAAACTGGACCTCTTCATGGCTATTCGACATACAATGTTGAAATCTTGAGCGAAAGTCCATCGAAATGTCCTTCATATTCTTGGACATTACATTCTCTCAAGCCGCATTTTGGGAGAAGCATGCTGCCATGGCAATATCTTAGATGTTGTTTCCCTTGTTTCCATCATCGTCATATAAATTCTTCTTCTCGTTGTTGCTCACACTCGAGATCAATTGGTGCATATACTCGAGCCATCCAGACTGGGAGCCAGGGAGCCGCAGGCTGTCTCCGTGAACTGTATCACCCAGTCCCAAGTTTCGCCTCAACTTCGCCGAGCCATCATTCCCGTGGCCGTGATGATGATCGGAGTCTGGCATTGGAGTAGGCGATTGGTCCGCTGGGAAAGTTGTTGAAGTCGACAGTGATGAGAATGTAAAGTCGATGCTGGACGTGTTGGACAGGGTCCCAGCCTCAGAAGTAGTGGTAGATGTTCTAAAGGTCGTTGGGAAGCCACTACTTTCAGTTGTTACATTACCTGGAATAAAGTTAGTTCATGCTTAGTCTATATGAACGCCATCTCACTCACTTAGTCCAGTCTCTGAGCTTGGCGATGTGATGACGCTTTCGTTGCACGAGCTAGTCGGATAAAGGGGGGCGGAGGTGGTACCACTTGTTACAGTGGCACCCGCACTTCCTGTCACTGCATCCGCAGAGGAAGCTGTAGTCCCGATCATTGATGTTATATACTCAGTGCTGGAAGCGGATGAGAGGCTTGTAGTTTCGCTGCAAGTAGTTTCACCAATCCAGGGCGTCGATGAGTTTGATATGGGATACGGCACGGACAACGACTCTGTGGGTGTTTCTTGCGCAGTCATCGAGGTTGTATCCTCATTGCAAGTCGAGGAGTTGCTTGGGCTGTATGGCGCAGAAGTTGGCGACACGGTGAAAGATGAAGTTTGACCGGGGCTAGCAGTGATACTCTGCCCACCCGGTCCACCAGCTTCGCTTGAAGTACTTGATGTGATAGACGTTGGCGATGTACCAGTCGGGCCCTCCGTTGCCGTATTGTTTGACGTTGGGAATGGCGCTGAGGTTGAAGCACTGGATGAGATGGATACAGTTCCGCTTGGTGCAGCAGATGACGAAAGCTCACTCCCGCTTGATGAAGTTAAGGAGACTCCAGTAGACAGAGGAACACTACTTCTTTCGCCTGTAGGTGCCGTAGTGGCAGTCGAATTGGACACCGGGAATGGAGCAGAACTCGATCCGGTTTCAGCCAGCGTACCTGATGATCCTGTAGTTTCCAATGCAGATGACACAGTTCTTGAAAGTTGTGACAGGCTGGCCGTGGGACCTGTAGGCCAGGGTAAACTCGTGCTGTTAGAAAGAGGGAATGGTACGGTAGTTGACGACAGACCGGTTGAAACACCAGACTTGCCGGTGCTAAGAGCCGAGCTCTGGGAAATTCCACTCGTCGAAATCGATGTGCCAGCGCTGATCGTAGAGCTTGTCTCCATGGGTGACTCGCTACCGCTTGGTGTTACTGAAGACGCGCCAGCTGAAGCTGTTGGACCACCAGTCGAGGTCAAATTTGTGACTGGGAACGGAGCCGTTGATTCTGAAATCTCCGACGTGGGAATCGAAGTGCCCCCATTCATCGTTGTTGTCCCACTACCGCTGGGTGCTCCTGTACCCTGACCAGATGGCCCACCTGAAGCTGTCGGACCAACTTTGGATGATGAGTTGGTAACAGGGAAAGGTTTTACGGTTCCTGAACTTCCAGATATGGGCAGAGATGTGCCGCCGCTGATGGTAGGCAACTCGCTGCCGCTTGACGTGGTGTTATTAGCGCCGGAGGATGGACTTGGCTTTGGCTCTATAGAATTAGGTATGGTCGTTGAGTTCGTCCCAGGGAATGGCTGCACCGTAGTTGACACCCCTGACGTCGGCGTGGTAGAATTAGTGCCTCGACTGCTAGTAGGGAATGTGGCCTCTCCTGAAGCACTGCGGCTTGGCTGAGTGGGGCTCGGAACAGTTGTAGCATTAGACAAGGGGAATGGCGCTGTCGAACCTGTAATGCTCATCGGCAATGATGAAATACCAGTACCTGATGTTGGAACAGCTGAACCTGATTCGGCGGCAGATGCCGACGTCGCTTGTCCAGAGGGGTTATCGGATGTTTGAGTGGGATTTGGAACCATTGTCGAATTCGATGCAGGTAAAGGTGGTAAACTCAATGATGGTGAAGCCGATTCGCCTCCCGACGGACTAGTGGTGATTCCACTGGTCAGAAGTGAGCCTGAAGAACCACTAATTGGTGCCGTAGGACCACCTGATGAAGTAGAGTTAGAAGCAGGGAATGGTGGCGTAGTTGATGATGCTGTCGTCACCGTAGGGAGTGTACCAGTGCCTCCGCTTTGAATCGAACTTGGAACTGACTGCCCCGAGGGCCCGCTGGTGGGTGCAGTTGGCCCAGACGGTCCAGTTGAGTTCGACAATGGGAATGGAGGCACTGTAGTTGGAGACTCAGCAGGTGAACCGCTGAGCGCTGTGCCGATAGTTGAGCCGGTCGGGAATATTGAACTAGCCGTGGAATTTGTTCCTGGCACACTCTGGCCTCCAGGACCAGGAAGCGATGTTGAGGGCCCTGTAGAAATCGACGGACTTGGCAGAGTTACGGTTCCACTGGGGCCAGTTGGGCCGTTAGTCGAAAGCGTCGAATTTGTCAATGGGAATGGTACAGTGGATGATCCAACAGGTGTTGAAGGTGTGATGCTTTCTGTTCCCGAGCTTACTGTAGAAGCACCAACCGGCCCCGCAGATTGTCCACTAGGGAGATCTGTGGAATTCGAAGTTGGAAAAGGTGGCTGACCAGAGGTTGAGGTTAGGCTGATGGGACCAGGTGCAGTGGTGGGGAGACTTTCTGTTGGCCCAAGGGGCGAGATAGTACTATTCGACGCGGGGAATGGGGGCAGTGACGTTTGGCTAATTGGACCAGGTGCCGTGGTTGGAAGACTCTCTGTCGGCCCAGCTGTCGGTCCACTGCTGTTGGACAATGGGAAAGGGGTTAATGTCTCGGAGATAATTGACAGCGACGATGAGCCTAAAATACCAGAGCCTGTTGGTCCATTCGTGGGCAAAGTCGAGTTCGAAACAGGGAAAGGTGCAATAGAACTAGTTGCCGGCGGCGTTGAAGACGTCACATTTTGACCGGTTGGATTACTGCTGGGAATGACACTTGGAGCCTCACTGGAGAGCATGCTACTTCCAGATGGTAAGGTCTGAGTCGAACTCGGATTCCCGGTGCCGACGGTATTTCCAGTGGGACCAGCCACAGATGAAGAGTTGGAAAGTGGGAATGGTGCTGATTCTGCTGGTGAAATTGAACTGCTGAAGCCACCGCTTGCCGTTGGAATGCCACTGCTGGGTGGTACTGTCGCAGTCGGCCCTTCCGATGAAGATGCAGGTGTCAACGAGCCGGTAGTTTCGGTTCCAGACGATGATAGAGTAGACAGACTTCCAGGGTTCCCTGATCCACCCGTTTGACCACTTGGACCACTCGTAGAATTTGAAACCGGAAATGGCGGCGGAGAACTTGAAATAGCGCCCGGTGCTGGAGTTGTCGAAGTACCGTACACAGTACTCGAAGCCGTGGTAGTGTTGCCAGGGCCTTCGGTACCTGTATCCGATGCCTGTCCAGTGGGTGACCCAGACGGTGTACTGGTAACGGTCTCTGTGCTTGGGGCCGACACTCCAGTCCCGGTCGGACCAACTGATGAGGATATCGTTCCGTTCGTGACGGGGAAAGGGGCCAGAGAACTAGTAGATCCACGAATTATTGTTCCAGATACACTGGGCCCTGTTGTAAGTGGCGGCGTCAAGGACCCAGACGACTCTGTTGGTACAGAGGACGAATTTGTAATTGTTGTTTCTGTACTTGGTGATCCAGTCAGACTGACTGTTGGTCCGGTGGCGGCGATCGAGGAGTTACTTAACGGGAAGGGTACTGAGCTGGAAACAGATATAGAGGTATATCCAGTGCTCTGTGGAACGGTACCTGTAATGTTTGGCGAGGAAGCCGAGGGGCCTGGGGTTTCTGTACCCGTTTGAGACTGGCCTGTAGGACCGGATTCCGAGGACGAAGTCGCACTCAATGGTTGCGTTGTCTGGCCGCTTCCAGTGGGACCATTGGTCAACGTAGAGTTTGATACTGGGAATGGGGGCGAGGCAGTTCCAGATTGGGCTCCTGTACCAGAAATTTCTCCCGTTCCACTTATAGTCAAGCTGGCTGCAGTTCTTGTCGTTGGGGACTCTGATCCAACTCCGCTGCCAGAACTTAGCGACGTCGAAGCTGTTCCTTGAGGAGCAGCAGTGGTGGTGAAATTGGTC